ACAACGTTAAACCAGAAGTATACCAAGTTCTTTCAAATTTAATCATTGCAAGCGTGCGCATGTGAATGCATGAGCGTAATGACCAAATCATCTTGTCTACACAATGTATATATATTGTGTATTTTTTATTTTACTCTTTTCACGTGCACACACGTGCATACATGAGCATGGTGACCATACTTTCTTGTTGAAGTCCATTACATCTATCTATGTTCCAAATCCCATCCTGTTTGGTTGAAAACCAAGCGAGTTATATCTATTTAAAGTTTCAGCCAATCAGATTGCAGCGCACGTGCATGCACTTGTTTTAATGATAATTGCTATATATCATGTTGTAGGACATCCTAATGCATGGCTATGTTCAAAATTTCAAAGGATTTCGTTAAAAAACAAGAAAGATATAGAGACTTTAGTTTCAGCCAATCAGAGCGAAGCGCACATGCATGCGCGTGAGATCTTGCTTTTTTGATCATGTCATCTTGTTTACGCTATGAATATATCCTTACATTATAAATTTCAAAAGATTTCATCAAAAAATAGAAAAGTTACGGCTATATCCATTATATTGGTCATTTCACGTGTTGCACGTGCGCGCTCTTGCAAGCACGTGCGCGCAAAATGGCATGTTGACAATGTCATCTTATCTACATTTATCATATGTCTATATATTCTAAATATCAAAGCATTTCATCAAAAAATGTAAAAGTTACGGCAATTTTAAGTATATTGGTCATTTCACGTGTTGCACGTGCGCGCTCTTGCAAGCACGTGCGCGCAAAATGACCTTCGTTCCGCAAATCTACATAACATGCCTACTTACCCTAAAAAGGTTTCCCCTTAATCGGATGTGTACTTTACAAGATCATTCGCGGACAAAATTTTCCCGAGAAGAAAAATAATAATAACTAGTGCTAATTGTAACGGGGACCGTTACAGATGTTCCCCAAACGCTCCCCAACTCCCTTTTGGTGCCATATTCCCTGTTATCTCTATTAAATAAGAAATACTTTATGGAATTTAGACTTAATCAAGGTCTTCCAAGAAAAATACAAAATATATTAAAAAAATAGGCATTGCACGCGTGTTCATGTGCGTAACGACCATATTATCTTGTCTACACTATCTTAAATTTTAATAATATCAAAGCATTTAATCCAAAAGTATTAAAAAATGCAGTCATTCGAGTGTATTTTTTATTTTACTCATTTCACGTGCACGCACGTGCAAGCACGTGCATAATGACTACACCTTCTTGTAGGAGTCCCTTATATTTATCCAAGTTCTAAATCTCATCCTGTTTGGTTGAAAAACAAGAGAGTTATAGCCATTTGAAGTTTCAGCCAATCAGATTGCAGCACACGTGCAAGCGCGTGATTTCATGAATATTTTCTATATCATATTTTAGGATATCGTAATGCATGACTATGTTTTAAATTTCAAAGCATTTCGTCAAAAAACAAAGGAGATATAGCCATTTAAAGTTTTAGCCAATCAGATTACAGCACGTGCGCATGCGCATGCTTTTATCAAAATTTTAATATATCATGCTGTAGATCTTCATAATGTAGGACCATGTTCAAAATTTCAAAAGATTATGACAAGAAACAAGAAAGATATTGAGACTTTAGTTTCAGCCAATCAGAGCGAAGCGCACGTGCATGCGCGTGAGATCTTGCTATTTTGACCATGCCATCTTGTCTATACTACTAATGTATCCTTACATTATGAGTTTCAAAGCATTTTATCAAAAAATAGAAAAGTTCCGACTATATCTATTATATTGGTTATTTCAAGTGTTGCACGTGCGCGCTCTTGCAAGCACGTGCGCGCAAAATGACCTTGATTCCGCAAATCTGCATAACATGTCTACTTACCCTAAAAAGGTTTTACCTACCTCGGACGAACAGTTTACAAGATCATTCCCGGACAAAAAAGTACCCAGGAAGAAGAAGAAGAAAAATAATAATAATAATAATAATAACTAGTGCTAATTGTAACGGGGACCGTTACAGATGTTCCCCAAATGCTCCCAAACTCCCTTTTGGTGCCATATTCCCTGTAATCTCTATTAAGTAAGAAATTCTTTATGGAATTTAGACTTAATCAAGGTCTTCCCAGAAAAATACAAAATACATTTAAAAATAGGCATTGCACGCGTGTTCATGTGCGTAACGACCATATTATCTTGTCTACACTATCTAAAATTTTAATATACTTAATATCAAGGCATTTAATCCAAAAGTATTAAAAAATACACTCATTCGAGTGTAATTTTAAATTTTACTCATTTCACGTGCAGGCACGTGCAAGCACGTGCATAATGCCTACACCTTCTTGTAGGAGTCCCTTATATTTATCTATGTTCTAAATCCCATCCTGTTTGGTTGAAAAACAAGGGAGTTGTAGCCATTTGAAGTTTCAGCCAATCAGATTGCAGCACACATGCATGCGCGTGATTTCATAATTTTTTATCTTTATCATATTGAAGGATATCTAAATGAATGACCATATTTTAAAATTCCAAACATTTCGTCAAAAAACAAAGGAGATATAGCCATATAAAGTTTCAGCCAATCAGATTGCAGCATACGTGCACGCGCGTGATTTCATGATTTTTTTCCTATATCATATTTTAGGATATCCTAATGCATGACTATGTTTTAAATTTCAAAGCATTTCGTCAAAAAACAAAGGAGATATAGCCATTTAAAGTTTCAGCCAATCAGATCGCAGCACGCGCGCATGCGCATGCTTTCATGAAAATTTTTATATATCATGCTGTAGATCTTCATAATGTAGGACTATGTTCAAAATTTCAAAAGATTATGACAAGAAACAAGAAAGATATTGCGACTTTAGTTTCAGCCAATCAGAGCGAAGCGCACGTGCATGCGCGTGAGATCTGGCTATTTTGACCATGCCATCTTGTCCATACTACAAATGTATCCATACATTATGAGTTTCAAAAAAATCCATCAAAAAAAAGAAAAGTAACAGCAATATCCATTATATTGGTCATTTCACTTGTTGCACGTGCACGCTCTTGCAAGCACGTGCGCGCAAAATGACCTTCGTTCGGCAAATCTACATAACATGTCTACTAACCCTAAAAACATTTTACCTTAGTCGGATGTGTAGTTTACAAGATCACTCGCGGACAAAATTTTCCCAGGAAGAAAAATAATAAGAATAATAATAATAAGAAACAGAGTAAAAACAATATGTTCCCCAACTTCGTTTGGGGAACATAATAATAAGAAACAGAGTAAAAACAATATGTTCCCCAACTTCGTTTGGGGAACATAACAAAGCAAATTGTTAGCAGAGCCGACAGGGACCTTTGACATCAGAGGCTGGATCAGGTGCCACGAAGCAGTTAGCATGCCATTTTGACCGGTCCTGCCCGTCGTGTGCTCCTCGTCATGATCATTAAAAGGGAATTAGGACAGATGTCATTCGACTCGACGACAGACTATATTAGTAAATAAGGTCAACATATCGACCATAGAATATGCGATTTGTTGACGTTTAAAGAGAATGTTGATATCTATGTATCATTAACATGTTTGTCAATAGCCTGCTTGAGGTCCAGAAAAGTTTTAATTCTTATGTAGTTTGAAGCAGTTAGAATTGCCTGCCCTTTGATTTATGAATGAAATAAATAGAAATCTGCTCTAAATGACTCAATCTGGTTTAGATTAAAGTATTGCTAACTTTACATGTACATAAGACAATGGTCACTTATTAAAAAAAAACATTAATATGCATTTTGTTAATATTAGTATTAATAATGATTTGTTTTTTTTTCTAATACTTGATTGTCTTTGGACATCTTTCCTGGAGAAATATTGCAGTTACCCAAAAGTTGAAAATGAACAAGGTAAATTCAATGTATACATCTTTACATGATACACTTTTCTCAGTTTAAAACCTTTTTTTCACTTGTATTTAGAGCTTCCTTAAAGAAAATAAAATTTTCCTCTCTCTGTGTGATCTAAAACAACCCCCAGATGGTTTGAAAAAATTAAATTCTTTATAAGAAAACTTCAACATATTTTTTTTTCATTGACCACTGATTTTGGAGAAATTAAAAGGAAATTACACACACACACCACAGACAGATGGACGAGCGTAAGAAACTTTGACCAAAAAAAGCTCCCTCTAGACTTTACGCTTAGGTGAGCTAAAAATACTAAAGTAAACAGATATACTTAATGGACTGAAAACTGATTTCAAAAATTCTAAAATCCATGGATAAATATTTACTGATCCAGTAATAAAGGGCATTCACTCGAGAAAACCGGAATAGCTAACACATACATAAATATGGTCTAAAAATTGTGTTTCCGCAGAGCCTTTGGAATTGACCCGGGAAAATAGAATATATGGTGTCTAGGAGGGAAACCAAAGGCAGTGATTTTCTTAATTGCCTTTTTCCATTTAAGTGGACCGAAAAACGCATACAAATGCATGCAGCAAAAAATCGATCAAATTTCAAATGACGATCTTATCTGTTTCAATATTAAACAAACTTAAAGCTGCTATTGCAATTGGTATATAAAAAGGCAGTTTTATAAAAGGAATCAGTGAGTGTTATTCTTCAACTTCCTGTTATTGTTGATATATAATGTAAATCAAGAGAGTATCTCCTTAGAATTTGTCATTTTTTTTTTTTGGTTTTCTTCAATTTTTGGAGGAAACGTAACTCGGTAAAGTTCCTCAGGAGGAGGGTGGGGTAGGGTTAAATTGATAATTTTACATTCGCATCTGACATATCCCTTCAACTTAAATTTTCCAAAAAAATTCAAAATATTTCGAAAATTTGTGAAGTTATCATCATGTTTTATTATGTATATCATTTGGTGGAAATTGTATAAACATGCATAAATATTCATACCTGTGCTGTGTGTATGTTTATAAAAAGTGTGTTTTGACTTCAATAAGCTGAACAAAAGATTTTTTAAAAATTTTATTTACAAAAGAATAAACGTTTATCACAGTTTGGCAGAAAAATGATAAAATGAGTATTGCATAATTACAGTATCTATCATGGCTGAAGTAAAATTGATTGGTTGTAATATATAATAAAAATGTACATGTTTAAATGCATATCTTTTAAAATAATAAACAAATATAATATCACTGTACGTCATCATATTTGTCACTTCTGTAAATGGTTACAATGTAATAGATGACTAGTGTACAATAATAAATTAAAAGACCGTCAGAAGCAGACCTAACTGTGGGATCATTTTCTCCTTCAATAAAAAGTCGAAAGAAAAAAACTGAAGTAATAATCATCTATTTGAAGGGATGTTGTTTGATTTAATTGAATTTTTGGGGGAAAATTACAACTTCCAAGTGAACCGAAACCCATCAAATAGGCAATTAAACTTACAAAAAATTTGAAGATTTAAAAAACACCTCCCTTCACCCACGACCTTTGTGAAAACCTAACGGCCCTGAATAATTTCTGACGTCATTCTTCAAAATTTAAATATTCATTTCTGTTGTTCAAGTCAGCTGCTCAGCCCACATTTGACTTTTTGTTTTGGTTTTAATTGCAAAAATGAATTTTAAATCTCTAATTAGATTCACGTAAAGCTTCCTCCACCTTGTCCCTGTTTTCAGACAACCACCTGTCAAAAGTTAATGCATGTGGATTTAATTTTCTGGTCAATCTGACGTCTCTAATAGCATGTCCACCCTGATAAAATTCAAACATTGCAGCCAAATCCTTGGCGCCGGGAAACTGAAATTTTTCCATGTCTTTTACTCTAATCTGAAAAATTAAATAAACCAAAATCATTCTTTTGATGAAAAGAAAGCTAACCAATTAGTACCGGTGTACATACAGTAAAATCTTTTTATTCGCGAGAACTTTAATTTCGTCTAATTACGCAATCCTTTTTTATTCGATCTCCAAAAGTTCATTCTCGCGTATATTTGCCATGCTAATAATTATTATTCATGCATACATCTAAAACCACATTTTGAAAAAAATTGTTTGGCTTATATATACCGAATAGCCATCTCAAGAAAATAAGGTGTCGCCGAAACATTGATCTACAGTATACAAAATTAAATGACTACTGCTCTGTGATGAAACGGTGTGTTCCCATTTCGCCTTAACTGTGAAATTCAGTTAAGAAAAAGTTAAAAAGTACTAAGGCGAAACGGGAATTTTAGTATTTGTAAATATTAGTACTAGGTTGATATAAAAATTTAAATGTTAAAAATTTTTAGATTGAATTTTACAATCAATGGGAATTTATGAATATTGTGAATGAAATAATACATGTAATACTAAATTACTTTATGCTAAATATATTAAATCTTCATCACCTTAATTCACCTGAGAGCTTACTAAGGCGAAATGGGAATGTTAATTTTTACAGTTAAGGCGAGATGGGAACAAACCAATGAAACATGCAGCATTTGAAATCTTATTATTATTATTTTGCATTTAAAGGTTACACCTTCTTAACAGTCACCTTCTAATCAATATTAAACTTGTTTCAGGAAAACCTTGAAGTTGAACTAAAAAGGACACTACTTGATTTCACACACTTTGGCGTTAAATGAGTTTACCTTTGGATCTGTAAATTTCCTGTTATCGAAATGTCTGTTAAATGTATCGACTATATCTTCCATAGAAAGTTTTTCTACAGATAGGTTCAATGTTTTTCCATAATACTGCTTTGGTCTTCTGAGGATCGATACGATAACTTCACCTACGTCATCAACAGACATCATGTCCAGTTCAGCGCCCTCTAGCGGTAAGGCTGCAAAAAACATTACTTGATATCTTACATCGTGCCACTGTATACAGTTACTCTTCAATAAATAATTGGTATTCATTATTCAAACTTAAATCTGTGTAATCAATTTCAGTATTTTTAGAATCGTGAATACAAGTGTCGTTATTTTAAGAAACAATCTTTGAGAAGTGCATATAGAGCAAAATCGATTTCTATGTGTCTTGGTAAACTTAGATCTATTTACTCACCGACAGCGTAAACTGCATGTTTCAGTTTATGTGGCTTGAAGACTGTGTAAAAATTTTCAAACCAGAAAGGGAGACGCAGTATAGTAAAATTTATTCCTGCAAATTTTAAGGTTGAAAATTATTTTTTTTTTAATATGGTAAATTTATCATTACGGCGAGTTTTGCTTTTTATAATATTTGTATGACAAAAATAACTCAAAATAGTCTTGATAGATTTTGTTTTCTTACATAAATATGGTTAGTGTATTATAAATAAAACAAAGTCAATTCAATTCTGTTAATGAATTAAAATGTGTTGAAAACTCTACACTACAAAGTGGAGTTCAGAATGACAAAAAAATAACCAGGGTATATACAGGTACACACTGCATAATCTACTATAGAAACAATTACTTAAACTTAGTTTCAAAAACTGAAAGGCAAGAAAGAGTTATTCGAAACCTTGCAATTGATACAAATATCTGTAGTAGTACATGTACATTAGAAATGATACTTCATTTAAAAAACATGTTGTAAGTGTATGTACATCAAAGAAAATCGTCATGCATCTAATTTAGAAACAGGGCTACATATACTTCATGCATTGTATTGATCCTTTTTTCTAGCTACATGTATAATGAAAAAAAAATCTACTCGGATTTTGTACAGAGGGATGAATGACACAGTGGTGGACAATTATTAAGGCAGAAAATTCCTTGTGTACATTGGTAAGTGGAAACTGTACAATTGTTTAGTCCTATACATTTAGTGCCGCGTGACTTTACCTGACGAAGACCCTGAAATACACCACAAGACTCAGTTACCTCAAAAACACATTTATATTTCACTCTTTAAATTTAATTTCCTTATTAAAAAAAATAGACTTGCCTCTTTTTCTTATTATCACAGAACCATAAATTGATGATAAACAATGATAAAAAAAATCTTTATACAGCTGCATGTCATTGTTTTCCATAAGGTCATAAACAGATAATTATTTTTTTTCTCCAAAAAATACCGTATTTTGAATAAACACTTCACACACAGAGGGCTTAGGTGTTTTGGGTTTTGTTGTGCTGAGAAAGAACAAGGTGAACTCAAATCAATACACTTTTAGGGATATTCGATCTTTAATCCGTTTTACAAGTATCAATTCCTTGTTAAGGTTGTCCGAAAATGGGAGAGCAATGCTTTTTCCGTTTTTCATGTATTTTAAAAATACAAAAGAAAGAAGTCCATCATTGACATTGCACTAAAATCCCGAAAACCCATGCTTAATTGGCTCCTGTGAATTTTCAAACTTAATTTTAAAAAATTAAAGCCATGAGTCGCCAGGTATGAGCACTTAGATTCAGCTTGTTAGGCTATCTAAATTTAATTCCCTGGTTCTCAGGCCAATTTTCTCCAAAACAGATGCGGGAGGGCGGCATTTTATTTTTCATTTTATTGGCAATAAAGTAGATGAGGGAGGTTTTTTTTTTAATTTTAATTTCCGAATTTTCTTTAACATAAAGATAATTTTTTAATCACAGATATACTTTCCATTTCTGATCAAAATTTCTGCTTTATCCATTGCTTAACAGCGTGTAAACATCATAGGTAATGTCCTCGAATGTATATTTTCAAACGAAGTAACCAAAATCTCATTGTAAATGGCTACCGGAAATGATATTTGAATACTAAACTACAAAACAAATGAGGTCGGAATTTTTTTTCCCGGATTGGTCTCCGCAATACCAACTTTTTATTTTATCAAAAATACAATAAAATCGGCAATGCGGCTACCTCAAAACGGATGCGCGCGGGCCTGAGAACCAAGATTTCAATTTTATATGGCCTTATTGTTATTTTTTTTTTTGCATTCCCAGTTTCGTTATTTACCCCAACAGTAGTTGTCTTTCCTTAACTGGGACAAAAGAGTTATCGAACATTGCGTAGGGATGCCTGTCCATAAATGTGCGGTAAAGAAACAATCATTTAATAATGCAGGAACTTAAACCAGACATAATTACGCAAACATGTACATTGAACATTTTCATAGAGTGGATACCGGTGCCAAACATACAGCTGGTGTTGGAAGGTATATTAAAACAGACCAAGGTAAGAAGTTTACAATACAAAATTAATGTCTGCTGAAACGTTAATATTGTGTTCTTTATTTCTGCAGAAAACTTACCCACTAACTGCACTGTTAAGAACATTCAAGTTCATTTACATCATACATTGGTGCCAAATCAATTACATTGCTTTATAAATGTGGAATTTTCTTTTAAAAATAAAAATGGCATAGATAAAATATTAACCGTTTTCAAAATAATTTTTTTTTCATCATAAAAGTCACCCCAGGACAAAAAGTTTCTTACATATATGAATTATATGGGTTTCAAGGGGTGCAATTATCAGCCAGTGACGTTTAGTACATGTTATCAAATGATCACTTACCAACTATCCCCTCTGTAGCGAAGTAAATACAGAGATTTCATGAACTTCCAGGTATGTGTACAATTGAGTCAATTCAAAATATCAAAGGAAAAAGTTTCCTGACTTATCTTATCTGGCTTCTTAACTGAACTGATTATTATTATTTTATCAGGAAATACATCCTGATTATGCCATTGCTTGTGTGATTTTCTCCTCTTGTCAATATAGATTGTGTTCTATAAGATATATTTGGAAACTTATACAAGTAAAGTTAAGGATTTGGGTTTAATAGGCAGACATCCTATGCAACGAAGGCTTGTAGAAGTTTTTAAAACTATTTCACTACAGAGTAAATCGAGATATAGGAGTATTGTATGATAATGTCTAAAAACAGCAATCAATTTAAAATAGCTCTACGCGCTATCGTTGCTAATAGTTGTGTCGGCAAGAATATTCACCACAATTTTTCAAAAAGACATTGCCCACATAGACCCCTACAAAATCAAGCAGAACAAACAGAAATGCTTCATCTAATACAACGGCATACATGTACATGTATTTATCGACACAGAAAAAAATAACTAAAGGCCACTAAAAGAAAGAACAATTTAATCAACAGGAAAGCTAATACAGGCATGTACATCTCAGCTTATTTATGTCAATTTGTGCAGGTTTTAAAGCATTTTTGCAGTCATATTTTAAAAGATAATCACAGAATTGGTATTTAGTTGATCATAGGATATGAGTAATAAAGAACTTTCCTTCCTAGACTTAAAGAAATCTAACTATCTACATTCCACACCCTTAGCAGTTCGTTTTTAAGTCTATTTCTCATTATTTAAGGAACTCGTTAGAAGCATTGAAATCTACTGTTATGATAAGCAGTATTGTTAATGATTGTAAGAGGCGCCAAAACTATGTCCAAAAGTGTTAGCTGCCGAGAGTGGACAATTGTTTAAAAGAAAAGATTTAAAGAAGTCATTGATATGTATTAATTATGAAGTAGATATATATAGGTCACAGTAAAGACTAAGCGAGATATAGCGTGACCTTTGTATGACCTTTAATTACCTATATCATTCGTTGTTACTTCTGTTTCAGAAAAATATCAGAACTCTCCACTTTAGAAATGATATAAAAATCAGAAAGAAGATAGATTTTAAAGTAACATTTTGAATTATGCAAAGAAAATTGTTTTACATTGGGGAAAAATACTCTCATAGAATATTGTGTAAAATAAGCAGAATTTCTTTTAAGCATTATACTTTTGATCAAAAACTAAACTAAAAAAAAGCTTAATATTTTGTATGACATATTTCTTTAAATAAGGACTTGGATTATCTATAGAATATTTCAATAAACCTCTTTATTTTTAACATTATAAGTTACATGTTTTTATGTTATTCTCTGTACGTAGCTTGTGTAAAACGTAAAACAAGCGTCATCAACGACATGCAACACAAAACTACACCATTCCATTAACATTCTCGCTATGGTTATGCGAATGACAGTCTCTTAGGTTTTTATAATTAGCATGCAATGAGTATTTTTGTGGCCCTTATAAGCGTTTTCTTAAACATTATCATCAGAAATTTATCTTCAAAAAAGTTTATTGTATATATTGCCATCAACAATCAATTTTTAATGATAAAGCAGTTAATGAAACTCTATATTTTGCTCCAAAGAAAAAAAACACTTTAGGCGCACTTTGTTTAAATATAACCTTAGGAACTGTCAACCATATGCATGAGAGACATGCAGCCTATAACGCTCTCACTTACCAGGCATCACGTGATTTAAACCCGTGACGTCCTCCGAAGGATTGTCTTTGTTAAGCAGTGGGTAAATGATAGAAAATGATATGTATAACACTGTGCAAAAAGCCAATATGGTCTCCTTATATGCAATGCTAAATTTGTCATGACTTGTCATAAACGTTGTTTAATGATAGGAAATACATTATCTTCCAAAAAGTATTTTTCGTTAAAGTTGTTTAGATTTTTTTTTCATTTTCCCAATAAAAGCCCAAAACATTTTTTATTAAATCAAAACCTTTAAATATTGAATCTTTTTCATAATACCAAATGTTCGCGTAATTCAGTGATAAATGAGCGAAATAAACAGATAAATGGTATGGCTATATATCATTCAAGCAGGATAATATTGTTGACATGCACTGATGAGACACCTACCTACTTCTCGTATATATTCCTCTATTGCTGATTTGGAGTCAAGGTGATTGCATTCTTTTCCTATAATTTTCTTGACGTTTTCTGAACCGTTAAATATGATATGTTTTACACCACACTGTATTGCTGCGTCAATGGCATTAAGTCCCTGAAAGTACCAAACATATCATTTTATAGGAATCATTGTCATAGTACCAGCAGTCCGAGAGAGAATATGTTGGTTTTTTTTTTGCTTGATATTTGCTATTGCATAGTTTATGTGGTGATATGCTATTGAGTCCCTGAAAGTATCAAACATATCATTTTATAGGAATCATTGTCATAGTACCAGCAGTCCGAGAGAGATCAGATGTTTTTTTTTTTTGCTTGATATTTGCTATTGCATAGTTTATGTGGTGATATGCTATATAATATTGTGTAGTTTATGTGATGATAAAACATTACATTTGATTATTTCATGGATGTTAGAGAGTGATGGTTAGAATACACGTTTGTATTTGAAGGTACTGTACGTGAGGTGCTATTTTATTTATATGCTAAAGAGTGATGTTTATTTGATGGATAATATTTCATATGTAATAACAGTAATATAGAGAGTTATGTGGAGCACGTATGTGGTGACACTTAATGATATGAAGTTTGACGTCTATTTTAGGGATGGCAATTCATGTGTCATATGCATGGCTTTAGAGTAGTACAGAGTTTAGAGATATTACATGTGTAGTGAATTCTGTATTGTTTGTGTGTTGATATTTCATACATAACCAGAATGTTATATGTTAAGTTTATCATGGTGATTTTACATGTGTAAGCTTGAGGGTGATATATAGACCATATTCTAAATGCACATGTATGATACAGGATATTGTATATCATATGTGGTGATATTTCATATGGATGTTGGAGAGTGATGTTTAGTACATGTACATATAAATTATTGTATAATTTACGTTATATGTATAGGTAGTGTTTCCTTTTATTTAATAAATTATTTCGCCATACCTTTATAACTTCCTTTTCCTTATTTCTATCCTCCCAATAGTGGGTAGTTAAGAACATGATATCGGCTCCCTCTAAGGCCTTCTCCAGACTTTTGGTCTCCCCGAGATCTGCGTTAACAATCACTGCTCCTGAAAAGTTCGAGAGCAAATATCACGTTTAGTTTAGCACAACAACCTGGAAAATGATATTTATGCTAAAATAATAACGTAAAAAAACGCCTGAATGTCCACAAATTTGCCAAATAAGCCCAAGTGACTGGATTTAACAGATTAAACAAAGATTAATAAATACTCTAGCCATTATAATATGCATGAGAATTTGAAATGTTTTGTATGTAAGCTTTTTGTCCGTATCTCACCATGCTCTGCTAACTGTCGGGCTTTATCGCTGGAAGACCGCCGGGTCACACACCGAACTTTGTACAGGAATGGTTCCTGGAGCAATCGTTTGGCAATAGCGCCACCTAGGATCCCGGTGGCGCCAAAGACAACCACCGTTCTAGGGCCGTCTGAGGCATCGTAACTAGATCCACAACCCATTCTGATCAGGAATAAATATATTATACAAATAATAGAACTTACTGATGCCTTTTTACTCAGTAAGTATATTTAGTATGTTATTACTAAATGATCGCTGCAAACAAATAATTTAAACTGGTTTTTGAAATATTTTACCCCTTAGAATCTCTTGAAATTTCGTGTTATAGGTAAAGAAATGCCAATATATATGAAATATAGAGATGTTCTTTAATTTTAGCAGCATGCCCCTTTCTCAGGTCTGCGTTCTTGGAATTTAGAAAACAATTCCCAGACACTTTTAAAGAAGTTGCAAATAATCATTAATGATATCATTTAACTTAAAAAGAAATACCTCATAAACATGATGGCTGAATAAAATATCCATTTAGAAACTATTCCGTTTTGCACATGCCTAATTTGGATTAACTTAAGCAAGAGGTCTTAAATAAGGACTATTGGTCTGATTTAATCTTACTCCTAATTGAAGGGTCAGTTAATCTCTCTGTACTGTGGTGCAAATCCGCCAACGGAAAATAATACTAGTAAATTACCTTGAGATACTAGTAAATTACCTTGAGAGGTACATGTGCCATGTGATTTGATAACAAATTATATTTGTTAAGTAGAAGAATCAATTTTTAACATAAATAATTCATGACATATTCAAAATATCTAAAACTCCAAGTAAATGTATTACCACCTGAATTTCATTGTTTCTAATCAATTAAAAACAGACTTTATTGGTACATTGTAAGGAAGACGTGTTACTTATTTAGTGTTTTCAATGTCATGGATTCATTCATTACCTTCTATACAGTATTATATACACTATTCGCACCAACTCATAGCAAAATAGAGAATATTCTAAAAAAAAAAAATCAATTGGTCTATCAGACTCACCTTCGGAATATACTCCAGTGTTATCCCATACCCGTATATAGTATCATAAATCCTCTCATGGTAAATTTTTAGACAGACAGTGCATTAATGAGTATCTTGAGTCTTAGCTCGTCCTGACTATTGTTTCATTGGTTACGATTACAATCTCGGTACCCATATCGGATATTCACCGTCCATATTGGAATTTTAGAGTTATCGTACCTGACTTTCAAGCCCTAGTGGTCTTTAATTGTTTGTTTGATATATTGCTATGAGATATTAAATGCCAGCCACTGAATATGCACGAATGAGAATATATTCTACCTGGCTTTGTAAATACAATGGTTTTATTTCTTTTTTTATTTTGTAGGTCACACTAGATCAAATCGGTCAATAGCTGCCCGATCTTAAGGCAGAAATTGCAGTGTTGGTTTACATTAGCGATTATCTTAATCTGCTTTGATAATGTCGAATACGATTTTGAAATTTTTATATAATCGGAAATGATAGCTTAATGAATTACATTGTCTAATCGTCAAATCTGACTTGCTTTAAACACGATTCGCAGGTAGTTTAAACACATTTTTAAAATTTTACTCAATCGGTAAACTTGTATTGAACCATATCAGAAGGCCACAAATTAATAACCACTGAAATCGTTTGTTATTTCTCAATGTAAGCAGCTTGAATTTGTTTATTTGATGTGATTATTGAAAGGCGAAAGAGTGATTAAACATGCTTAATAATTAAATGTAAGACTTTGGTGTATTCTGTTTCTTATAACCACGGAGAAGATAGTAAAAGTTTCCAATTGAACGTACATATATATATATCTATATGTTTAATCATCAATCAAGCCCGATTTTGAAAGTAGTTGGTGATCCTGTTTGAAACGAATTGAAAGTATTTATTTGTATGATACAGATACGGCTCTATGACAAAAAATACCATCAATTTCGATTAGAATGAAAAGGAAAACAAACGAAAAGATTCACAAACTCTGAACTAATAAAATATCATACTCACTTATACTTTTCTGATGGATCTGGCTTAAACAAATCCAGTTTGAACATAACACATTCTTCAGTTCACATTAAAGATCCAAAATAAAGTTTTGAGTCATAAATAAAACAGAAACTAAACAAAAACTTCCATAAGGAAACACAAAGAAAGACTACTTCATTCCTCTACAAACATACCCACAGCATCCCATACTGACGATTACTTCAAATTAGGTAATATTTCTCTGCTGAAAAATCATTATGCTGTGCTTCAATATTTCACGAGCTTTCTATCCTTAACACTTTATTTAAAATATGCAATAATAATGTCCTTGACAAATTTTGTGTTCTCTAGATATTGATTTTATGAATCAATTAATAGAATTTTAAAAGTAGCCGAAAAGAAAACGAGTTTCTTTCAGATCGTTTACATTTCGTCTCATATTCAAACATTTATGTGCCATTGACTTGAAAATTAAATTCTAAAAATCGGTTGGCTTTAACGACACAGTTTGTTACACATCATTTATAAAACTTCGCCTTTGTGTTCTCCATTGATCTTAATGAGCTTAATTATAAACAAAACAGATTTTAACAACTCTGCATATGCAAATTTTATTGTCCAGATAATATTTTTGGCAACTACTTCTATGGTACATGTATATCCCAGCTAGTACAATTGTCACTCCTCGAAAAAAAAAATTGTCATTTTTGCATTCTGTTATACATGTATTCTAAGAGTGCAAAATATGACATGTGCAAGATAGTAAACTGTTATTAAATTATCCAGCAACAGATTTGTTGAGGGGGGAGTGCTCTCTCACGTTAACCAAAGTGACTGATAAGTTGACAGGATTATAATGTTCTAATTTTTGTTCTAATTTTTGTACTTTAAGAGTACAGCGAAGACCGCGTGAGTAGTACAACTGCAGTACTTATTTTTCAGATGTAACATACGCCGGATATCGGACGAGAAAATATCTTTTAAAAGTGATTTGGACAATAAATGCATCTCTAGCATAAATTGAGTAAGACCTAATCAATAATGCACTGTTATATTAAAAATCAAAGAAGGGGAAGCAAATATTTAATGTTTAATACAGCAGTATAAAATCTTATCACTTTCTAAAAATTAACGTTTAGCTACATGTATTTCGAAACACATCACTTAAAACAACATGAGCTGCATTTTTGAAAATTTTATTTTGCTGTTAAAACGTGTTTATATGATAAAATCATTAATGTACAGGACGACAATATTGTAATTTTGATTCAATAAAAGGTTATAAATAGTTCTTCCGTCGCAAATATGAACAGCAGATGTTCATTTTTAAAACTTTATTTTTTTCTGTCATTGAAATAGTTATTTACAATTCTGCAACAAAAAAATTCCGAGATCAAAGTTGCAGCTCATATCGCTTTAATTTACTAAGAAACCACAGATACATAACAAAAAAACAAAACAAAACAAAACAAACAAATATATTAAGATCCAATATATCAATTTGAAGAAATATTTATTCTAATTTCTTGAAACACAAGCTGATCCCTGACATCCGCAGAAAAATACAACTGATGTACACGGCCCGGACCCAACTGGTTCACAAATACCTTGAAAAGTGGAGAGAAAAAAGAAATCATTTCAAAATATAAAATTTGTAAAGAATATTTTCTTAGCAAAAAGTTCATATATAGTAAAATCATTGTTTATTGTAAGATCTATTGATTTATTGATGTAGATTTATTGCATAACAGTCTTGAGCAGTAAACGTTGGTTTAACAATATAATGGTATATTTGTGCTATTGAGTACAGTGATTATCGCTTTAACATTAATATACCTGGTTGTCCTGTAGAACTCCTTTTGGGGGTACCTCCCTCGGTCCAGTGACAGTGCGGATCCCCCAGTTCCTCGCCATTAGTCTTCCCATCGCCGTCCGAGTCCTTCATACAAAGAGCTCTAGTCCACGTGTGTCCGGCCGCCTTAAAATCCTTAAGGAAGTATAAATGAAAACAGTGTTAATGCCCTGTTCACATCCATGCACATTAAATATAATGTACATCTTGTTTATTTTGCAGTAAATTAATGTGAAATTAAACTTCGTTGCTCTCATTTAAATCCTTTTCATCAAATGTAACCCTGGCCCAAGGGCCCTGAAAGTAACCATTTTGATTGAGGCGCCTTTCTTCATCATAAACGTGTACTTAGATCATTTGCATAATACCATGATTTGTTTAATAACCAGGAGCAAAGGAAAAGATTTTCGAAGAATTAATGCATTTTCACTATATAATCGTTTGAGCCCTGTCCTATAACCAGAATCCCCTGACGCAGAGGGAGAGACATTCTTGCTCATCATAACTATGTACATAATTCATTGGTTTAATACCCAGGAGGAGAGGAGATTTTTAAAGAATTTATGCATTTTCACTATATAAAGAATAGAGCCCCGCCCTTAAACTAGAACCTCTAAAACCGGGGTCATGAAATTCAAAGTTTTGAAGAGGAAGCCTTATTCAACAAAACTATGTGCTTGGTTTGTTTATTTAATACTAGTACCCAGGAGCAGAGAAGAAGATTTCAAAGAATTTATCAATTTCACTATAAAATCAAGAACCCCCGTCCCAGGTTAGTTTATCTACTGCCCAGGAGCAGAGAAGATTTTTAAAGACTATTTAGCCTAGCCTTAGCACTATAGAACCCCTGACCCTGGGGTAAAGGATTTCAAAATTTTGGTAGAGGACTCAATGCTGATTACAATCATGCCAGTAGTTTTTGTCTGCTTGCTGTTCAGGCGTAAAGATATTATATTAAAGATTGCATCAATTTTAGTGGTTTTGGCCCTTGCCCTCAGGCTCCAGAGGGGCAGAGTCCATGAAATTCAGAATTTTTGTTCCCCTTGACCCATAGATGCTTTATTCCAAAATTAATTGAAATTGGTTGAGTGGTTGTATAGAGAAGAAACTGAAAATGTTCAAATGTTTTAAACACACAACGCACGACGACAGACGAAAAAGGATAGCAAAAGGTCACCTGAGTTTGTGAAGATATAAGGAACAATGTAAGTAATATACCCCGAAGATGAATGCTATGATACTTACTAGGGCGAATGGGTTCTTCTCAGCAGTGTGGGTGAATGGACTGTAATGTCCCACTGCTTCCCAGTAGCTGGATCCGCAGGGATTAAATACTTTATATCCATTAGGAATTCTGTCCCTGTAGTAAGGAAGGGCACCGACACTACTTAATCCAATCAAACTAAGATAAAACAAAATCATCCTTAATAGTCTGTTTAAACCCGTCTTTATCACAAATGGAGAAGAAATCGATCATTTTTTTCTTTATTTTTACCTATTTCATGTTGTTGCGATAATCCTCCTTTCTATATGTTGTTGGTTAATATGATAAAGCTGGGGTCGTTTGCGTCATTAGGTTAAGATTCGGCATGTCTTGGTAACATTCTCTCTGCTCTTTACACGTTCTTCTTCTTTAATGTATAGAATACATACAAAGGACTCACAGCGCATTTGAACGTTCTACAAGGGATATTTTCATCTCTTAGGAATCTGATTCTACCTCTATAAATTCCAAGAAGTCCTTGTTCTATTCTGTGTTTACACATTTGTATTGTTTACATGCATATTTTTTTTTGAAATCGATCATTTTTTTTCTTTATTTTTACCTATTTCATGTTGTTGCGAGAGAAAAATAATCGAATTCGTCTATTCCTTTCTCTGGGATGTTGTTGATTATGGCGATTTCTTAAAATTACAAAACATAAAAACCCTATAATCTTCTGGGGGAAATAAAAATCTGAATAAGCTGACTTGGAGACCGGTCCTTCGGATTTAAGACTTGACCTTGTTATTTCAGGTCCCTATATTTCGCAGAAGGTGCTATATATATTATCAATTTGGCACACATCAGCGTTAATTGAAAGATCCCAATTTATCATTGTTCAATAGCGCCGATGAAAAACATTACACAAAATGCACCCCTACATGTAATTAATTATAAATTAATAGAGGGAAACTCCGGGTTTCATCTGACGACACTACAAATGTTATAACTTTTTAATTACATCGGCACAAAATCTAACAACAATGAAAGATATAAATATTAGTATGTAACAATAAATCGAATGAAAAAGGGCGTTTTTTTTAAATGGTTTATTGTTATCTCACTAGAGGACGAGAATTTATTAAAAATGCAAACTGTACTGTACATATGTACAAAGTACACTTGTCTAACACTGAAGGTTTTTTTTTATATCCAGCAACGATAATATTGACGTTAAACTGACGTTTAATTTTCACTTTCTTGCGAATTTATTTTTCATACACAGAGTGAAGTTTTATATCACAATTCAACCGCATTTGTTGTAGCACACCAACTTCGCAAAATTATATATATGTACATGATATGAAATAATTATTCACGTGATTGTAAAAAGCAAATTAATTATAAGCTTTCATGGATTGATTTTTATCTCTATCAAAATAAAGTTTTAAGTATGAAAAAGAGTGAATCCTGCATTATACGTTCTATTCACAATTCCATTGTGTATATTTATATATAAATAATTTGACGAATTTCTAATATAACTCGTAATTTAAGCAGAAAAAAATTAAACCTGACAAATTAAAAAAAGGATGCTTATATGAGTTCAGTCTCTTGCACTAAAAAAGGGCTTTTAGGTGTCACTTAATCATAAAATGTAGTACAAAACACGCTTATATTCATACTAATCGCAGCTCTCCACAAATGCTAATACTACAATGGATTTTTATCTCTATCAAAATAAAGTTTTAAGTGAAAAAGAGTCCTGCATTTACGTTCTATTCACAATTCCATTGTGTATATTTATATATAAATAATTTGACTATATATAGCGAAGGGGTGGCGTATCCATTTGAGTGAAAAAATCTCCAGAGAGGCTTAAACAAAATACCAATCAAATAAATAAATTGTGATAGAGCACAATTGATTGATTGTATGTTGTTATAGTCCCTCTCCAGAATATTTCACTCATAAAGATACGACACCATATACCGGTGAAGTACCCGGTATTTCAAATTTTATCCTTTACTCGGCAGCACTGATCAGTGAGGGATCATTATCCTGCCAACGGCTACCGTTACACGGGATCTCGGTTTTTGAGGTCTTATCTGAAGGACAATCGCATCATCTCGGGTCTTTCCGTCAGAGGTCGGAAAACAACCTCGAATGTATTAACATCACCGGATGTTAAAAATTTATATATTTCCTGTTTATTCAAATATAGGATTGACGGAGTTAGAAGTCCCTTCTAAAGTATATTTTAAGTAATATCATTACACTTAATAAAGTTAAACTCCAAATTCCACGGATAAATGGTCTCCATGCATTTATTTCAAAATTTGAAAAAGGAGGGTTGTCATGGCGTCTACCATATACATTCGAGGTCGTTTTTCCGCTAGTCGGAAAGGCCCGAGAAGTTGCGATTGATCTGAAGGACCCACGTTTACTTCAAGGTGCCGAGCGCATGGCTAAGAAACAGTTATTACCCATTTTGTATCGAGTTAGGTCAATCGCGACCGAGATTCAAACTCACGACATCTCGAACACTGAGCGAGCTCTCTACCGACTGCGCTACCGTGACGGTAGAACACAACTGCAGAACTAAAAGCTCGGTTCTGCATAGATGTATTTTTATATACTAATTAATCTTCAAAGGAAGAATAGAGAAAGAATATATTTCCGAAAGTGTGTATTTAAACAAATAAGTAAACAAAGAAATTAATTATAATTTCCATCTTTATATGCATTTTCTGTTCTTTTTGGGGGTCGGTCGCGTGTCGCAGTGGTTAGTGCGTCTGTTGTAAAGTCGCATATATGGAGTTGATCCTTCTAACGCGGGTTCGAATCCCACTGTGTGGTGGCGTCTCCATATGAGTGAAATATTCTCGAGAGGGACGTTAAACAATATTTAAGCATTGAATTCATATTGTGGGATGTCTTCGGTCCTATAACACACCTGGCCGGGCCGACAAATATTATTTGTCGGCACGGCCAGGTGTGTTATAGGACCGACATCCCAAAATATGAATTCAATGCTTATAATTACATTCTTTAATTTTTCCCTATCTATAAATATTTTTTAATTCCTTATTTAAATTCCGCGTCATTCAGAATCGGTGTGTGTCGTAAACGGAAGAGCCGATCAGCTCCAGACATACGTTAACAATGAAAAGTATAGTACTTATAAATAACAATAACAAAAGCATATTTTTGGCAAAATTAATTTATTTTAAACAGCAATAAACAGTAACAATTCTTATAACAACTATCAATGTTGTGTTTTTTGTTTTAAGCTTAAAAAGATAAAATGTTCAAACTTCAATGCGTAATAACAAACTGAGTGATACGGCCCTCAGTCGCCATTTTGAATTTTAATGAAAGTTAAATGTGCAGCCGCTGAAATTTGAATTTGTGAAGAAAGTTCAAGAAACCAGTCGAAGGCTGAATCTTTTGCATGTTCATGGTGAAATGTGCTGGGACGGCAGTCGATGTAGCGAGATTCAGCTCAGATGGAGGTGACAAGAATGGGAGAGCCATGGTTTCACGTGGTGAGTTTTCAAGTTGTGGCGATTTCAAAACACGAGGGGGAGGTAAAGCTACTGTTGTAGATGAAGACGGGAGTGAGACAGAAGCCATGGAAGAAAGGGAATGGCTGAGAGTTTTCTTCTGGTGGGAAGAGAGGGATCTGTTATAAGATCGGAGAGAACTTTCGTTCCTGTGGTTCGACTTAAACATTATATGCCGTGCCTCGTACCCTTGATCGTTGGGGTATGTGATGGTTGTGGCCCTTAGACAGCAGCTACGCATATTTCAGCTAAAAACTTACTGAATGTGCGCTTTTGAAGGGGTTTAGCTGCAATTCAAACATTAGGATCTAATATTCGATCCTTTAGGTACTGGTTAAAGAGACTTGTGGCATTTTTATCAGTTTTTGATATGATCATCTTAAGTAATTTAACTGGGCAGCAATTGTTTTCATCATCAGTTGCGTACATCCGCTTGTCATTGTGGGTATCATGTGCTTCAACCCCCCTTGATTATTCTTTTGCAGGGTTTCGTGTTTTAGTGCAGCATACTCAACAGTCTCATCAGTGGAAAATTAAAAGTTGTCGATTTTCAACTGATAACAACTTGTAACAAAATGGATGGCCAAAAAGTACCATACAGCATGACGTAAGATAACTGGTGATGACGCACCTTTGAGGTACTGATATATCTTGAATGTCGAGTCGAAGGCCACAGGAAGTGTTTTCTTTTCAAGTAAAAGATATTGGGCGAAGTCTCCTTCATACGAACACAAAAACAGGTCTGTTAGTAGTAACTGGGCGCTAATGATACCCACAGGAATTGCAATAAACTGTCACTCGGATGACTCGTACCTCGCACATAACCTTGGACATCAACGGTGATCTACCATCTTGCGTATTCAGTCATGTGATCTTATTTAAATTTTTTTCGAATGCCATACATTTGAAATCGAAGTTATTTTGTGGCACACTCAACAGATGTTTCTTGCTTTTGAAGCCTACTAACATGAGGTTGTAATCAAAACCTGTTTACGATAAGGAATTGCCCAAATTAAGAAACATTTTCGAAGAAAGTTATGCAGAGCGAAATATGAAATGAGTGATTAGGCAGTTTCCGGCAGAGAAATGTAAGGATCTGACGCGTATTCCTCCACTAATCACATCCGAGGTTTGAATGGAGCGTAGCGGAGTCAGCCGAGGATTGCCGATTGATAAACTGTTGGAAAACCTGGACTCCAAAAACCACAAAGATATTGTCAATCAGAAACTCAAGCATCTTTTAAATATCAACATCAGGGTACTTCTGTGTACAATCAGCACGTTTTTGACAAAATAACTGATGACAAGGATAGTAAATTTCCGAGTTCCATTTTATCGAAAAAGCAGCCGTCAATAACCCCCCCCCCTCTGGAGTTTGATTTATCGTGGGGAGTAGATGAATATAAAAATGAGAAATAGCATACATGTATTTAGACTTGTACTCGGCGCTAAGGTCCTTCGAGTAGTGGGGATCTTTTTTTGTGTCAGCACCTTTTCCGACACGAGACGGGGTTTACAAGTCTCATCCGAGGGACAGCTTCCTCTCCCTGCAACGGGATTCGAATCCGTAGATGTTTTTTGCAATCCATCACTCTTTGTTTTTTTTGCATTTTTTTTTGTATATGAGAACAGTACTAAAAAATGTACATAGACATGGATCAGCCACGTTTTAAGAAAGCCAACAAATAACATAAGGATAATAGCATTCAGATGGACCTCAAAACCTAAGAAGGAGGAAAGTCCAAACGAAAACAATATGGACATACGAAGAAGCAAGAAAACTATAAGACATGAAGGCCCCCTGTAAAACAGAGAGAGCGTTTGTTCTTGACTTGTGGTGAAAGATGCTGTTCCATGCGTTGCGGGTTCGAATCATACTGCATGCGGCATATGGAGACCGATCCTTCGATTGTGTCCCTATCCGAGCTTCCTTGTCGCGGTGGGAAAAAGATCTCTCACATTTAATGGCCCTGCCTGATTCTAAAATCTGCAGCCCTCCACAGAGAGTTGTGGCATTTCATTTGAAAAATTGTGAAAGTGATGTTAGATAAGCAAACGAATGCATGATCCAGGGAGAGGTAGAGAAAATATATAACAGGAAATCATATGCTTCTGGGTGCAACAAAGACGAGGTGCTTTACTTGCTTTGGGAAATGTATTTAATTAATATTATCCCGCTTCAGACAAATTTGTAGATTGCTGATTGGATAAAGGCTGATCACATGACGCCCTGAAATTTTCCGTATTACGTCGCCGTCAAGGAGTAATATGAAAATCGTGCACGCAATTACGTTCAAAGCGTTGCCTTTGTAAATAAAAATGGCGGCCAAGAAACGGTTTACACAGTGAACTTTAATAGTACACGCTTTGTTCCCCTCAATTTTCCTGGGAATGGGATCACTTGTTTTGAAAATTCCCTTTTCTATACGAATCTAAGTATACATGTATGTAATAAAAAATAAAACTAATGACACATCTTTTGGAAATGATGTTATTTAAATATTCGTATTTTTAAAACATATAAGTTTACACAATTAACTGGATTCCCAGTACTGCTTGGAAAATAAATCGTCTGTATGTTTAAAACAATTACAAACACTTTTATTATGAAATCTGAATTAACCAACACAGCCATGTCCATGACAACCACAATGGAAAGCAACAGAAGAACAAGCCCCGGAACCAATGGGCTCACAGATTCCTGAAATAAAAATGTAAAATTGTTCGTATATCAAATTGTTCATTAAAAACCTTCTTTGTTATTTAATTTTGAATCCATCAAATAATTTTTACCGGTATTATTATTTTTCCTCCTAATCTTTTCTCTCTTAGACCTTGCTCTAGAGAAGGATGAAACATATGGAGATAACGAACAAGATCAAAAGTCCATAAAACAATACAAAACAGGAGTAAACACGGACCTCCAAAACAGAGGTTGGATCAGGTGCTATGGAGGAGTGAGCATCCCATGCCGACCGGTCACACCCGCCGTGTGCTCCTTGTCATGATCGGGAAATACCGGAAAAATCCGTCTTCAATTCAGTGTATGAATAATGGAATAACACGGACATTTGATCAGTACTTCCCAAAGAAATTTCTATTTGAGATTCAATTTGTAAACCTGGTTGAAATCCGTATGTGTTTATAGTTATAGTTTCTTAGCATCAAGACCCCCATGACTTCAACAACTTTAACCCGTTTTTGATCATGATTTTGTACGATTGCAAACAAAATCAACGATTGGTCTATATGGGTGTGTATTGAGTGGATGTTTTGCTCTGACTCAATTGCTCACAAGTTAGTATAGGTGTGGAATCCATAGACTCATTAATTTTTTTTTCACATACTCTTTAGAAGTATTATTCCTACATACCGACAGATAAGTCAAATATTGGTGCATATAGGTATATGGCTTACAAATCAAATAAAGGTTGCCTAATTTATATCTAGAATTCATGAAACATATGACCTGCTTATTTGACTGTGCCGTTAGAGGTGTTGAAACATCGAGTCGTAAGATTGATTGTATGTTGTTTTACGTCCCATTCGAGAATTTTCACTTATATAGAGACGTCACCATATACCGTTGAGGGGCTTCAAAATTTGACCTTTTACTCGGCACTCAGGGCCATAGAGCAGTGAGGTATCGTAATCGTGCCAACGCCTGCCGTAACACCGGCCTAGGTTGTAAGGTCTCATCTGAAGGACCTGCAACCAGAGTGCCGAGCGCATGACGATGGAACAGTTGCTAACCATTTTTGATCGACTTAATTAGGTAGTCAAAAGAAAAAAAAAACCAAACGAGTGAATCCTATTTCAGGGGGTAGGGGAAGGAGATGATACTTTCTCAAGTTAATTGACTGTCGTAATTAGGATAAGTTCTTCCGTTGATATTTTTTACTTTTATATAAAAAATTTACGAACCCTGTCCATGAATAAATAAAAATAAAAATTCAATGTTTAAAGAAAGTACCTGGTTGACCAGTTGATTTACCCTCTGGAGTGTCCCCTGCAGTCCAAGTACAATTGGGATCACCTAACTCAGCCCCATTGGTGACCCCATCACCATCTGAGTCTGCGTTACAAAGGGCAGTTGTCCACTGATGTCCAGCAGCGGCGAAGGCCTTGAGAAAAAGTCTTTGTTTAAGGCATTGCAAGATTTACTTGTCAAGTGAGGTGAGTACTCTCTATGTTTTAAATAAAGCTATGTATGGATTATTTAAGTTACATGGTGAAGAACCACACACTTTAAATTCACAGATAACCTGGTACTTATTACCAACTGTTGCCATGAAAAGACAAAAAATTCTTGGTCTACTTCTAAATTATTTTTAATGTTTTTCTCATATACAGGACTTTTTTTAATTATGGAGTGTAAAACGTTGCTTTATTCTATAATCAAGTGATGTATATTCAAAAGCTTGTGATGTATATTCAAAGTCTTGTGATGTTTATGCAAAAGCTTGTAATCAATATTCAAAATCTTGTGATGTATGTTCTATAATCTTGTGATATAAGTTCTGTAATCTTGTATTTATATGAGCAATAGCTTGTGATGTATATTCAAAATCTTGTGACGTATGTTTTATAATTTTATGATGTATATGCAATATGTTTTATTTTGTGAATTTTGTGATGTATATTCAAAATCTTGTGACATATGTTTTATAATTTTGTGATGTATATGCAATATCTTGCAAGGTATGTACAAAATCTTGTGATGTATGTTCTATAATCTTGTGATGTACATTCGATAATCTTGTGATGTTTATTCAGTAAACTTGTGTGTCGCCCGCGTGGCGCAGTGGTTAGAGCGTCTGCTCTAGAGTCGCGAAGCAAGGAGTGAATCGTTACGTCGCGGGTTCGAATCCCACTGTGGGACGTGGAGGCCGGTCCTTCGGATGAGACCGTATAAACAGAGGTCCCGTGTCGCAGTAGGTGTTGGCACGAAAAAGATCCCTCCCTGCTCAATGGTTCTGAGTGCCGTGTATAGGACAAAATTTGCAGCTCTCCAGCGGCAAGTGGTGGCGTCTCCAAATGAGTAAAAAATTCTCGAGAGGGACGTTAAACAATATACAATCAATCATTAAACTTGTGATGTATGTGCAAGAATTGCGTTTTTGGTAATACTGAGTTCTAGTAAAGTAAGGACAATTTTTATTGGTTGGAAATAACGAAAGTAGCGGATGATGCATACGTAGATCAACTGGACTTCGATACAAAGATAAGAGACATTTGTAAGAAATGGATTATGTATGCAGATATATCGATTAAGATATAAATGTAATAAATAGAGTGAAGTCCTCAAATCATCAACTCGATCTCCTTTTCACAGCGATCTGGTCTAGTTCTTCTGTCACTTTGAAGACCAATGAAAAAAAGTCCTTGCAAAGGTTATCGAAATAAATATAATATTATCTACAATGCAATTATTGCATAAGCATCAAAAGATTTATAAACCATATATCACAGGATTTTGAATATACATCACAAGATTATAACAAGATTTTGCATATAACATCACAAGAGTTTGAACATACATTACAAGATTATTGAATATATATCACAAGATTTTGAATATACATCACAAGATATTGCACATACATCACAGATTATAAAACATACATCACAAGATTTTGAATATACATATGATATTGAACATACATCACAAGATTATCGAATATACATCACAAGATGTTGAACATACATCAAGATTTTGAATATACATCACAAGATTTAGAACATACATCACAAGATTTTGAATATACATCACAAGATTTAGAACATGCATCACAAGATTTTGAATATACATCACAAGATTATCGAATAAAGCAACGTTTTACACGCAATAGTTAATTAAAAAACAACTTACATTCTAATAAAATAAAATAAATGTAGATATCACACAAGTATACTTTTTAAAAACATTTGTTCAAAAAGCTTACTAGTCCAAACGGATTTTTGTCATGTGTGTGATGAAGGGCGTTGTAATGTCCCACTGCCTCCCAAAATCCCCCGCCACACGGGTTGAACACTGCGTACCCATTGGGAATTACATCTCTGTAATATGGATGAGCACCCACAGAAATGCCTCCAACGAAACAGAGGAGTATCCTAATCATAATGAATTCTTGTAACATGCACTGTACTTTTTCACACACACGTATATATAGAACACTTTAGGCTTATCTCAGAAAGTCCACAAGTCTGTTTGAGGCATATTATTTCAGACATGATTCTCATATAGCTCAGGGTCAAAGCCGTCAGGATTTCTAAAGTCTTAGGTAATTTGTGTAACTGTAAAGAGTAGTACACACGAGCTGAAATGGACCAAAGTTTTTATCCTCCTTAATGAACTCATGTTTGAATACTTGTTTAGTTGTCATCTCCCGACCGATTGGATGAAACTGGCCCAACTCAAAAAACGTCTTTAACATAGGAAACAATTATTTTTTTATATACATTCCAGAAAATAGATTTGAAAATAAGCACTAATCTACCGACCTATTTTTTTCGACCTCATTTAAGATAGGGCAAAGAAGCAGTATTTTAAGGTTGGCCTAATGTGTCTAGACTTTATTTAAAATATACATGTACATACATGTGCATACATGTGCATTCGGTAAAAAAAATTGACGAAAAGAAATCATAAGGAAGGGAGTGTAATCTAGTATAGACACGTAAATAACATTACGAGTTAATTAGCTAATCAAAACATCCCAATTGTTTAATAGTAAAAATCGGCTGAGAGAAATACTCATATTAATTACTTGTTGATTACAAAATGATTGCTGCACGTGTGTACATGTACTAAGGTCTGAATATCTACACAAAATTTTGGACAATACGAACGAACAATTTAGAGAAAAGACAGAAAGAATTTATAATTTAATAGAACTGAATATGCTTATTCAAGTATTTGTACAGCAATTTTAACTTGCTAATAAAGATAAAATCTATTTGCACCAGGTTTCTGTCATATTGAGGTGGAAAGGGGTCACCTTAGTTCTGGAAATTCCTTTTTCTGTGCACATCTTACCATATGTAATATTGAATGATTGATTGTATGTTGTGAAACGTCAACTTTGAGAATTTTTTACCCAGAGAGGTTACCTTATTTAGGTAAAGTGCCACACCTAAGGATGACGCTTTTCATTGTAACAATTTGGAATCTAATATAAACCATACCAAGACCTTGAGGTTTAAAGTTTCATGCAACAGACCCGCAACTTTCACTTCTAATGCCGGATGCTTGACAAAGAAATGATCCTTGTCTTTATTATATTAATTAAACGTCTTGGATTTGACGTAGCACCAGGAACGAGAAACTAACTTTGTTTCTACTGATAACGTTTTGTAACGCTCAGCTGCTATCTATCTCTATGAAATTATCATTTATAGACTCCATTGATAAAAACAAATGTGTGTGGATGGATTTGCAGCACTGTGTGTAATGTACAGGAACTTCGAGTTAAGTAATGAAAATAAAAAAATTCATACAGTAAAAAAGTTTATTTCAAAATAAAACAAAAGTTAACCAACGCAGGCATGTCCATGACAACCACAAGAGAAAGCAACAGAAGAACAGGCCCCGGAACCAATCGGCTCACAGATTCCTAAAAAAAGTTATTTTCCATTCTCAACAATTATGGAATAAAAATAAAGAAATGTGTGCGAAAACAAGATTTTTTTTCTTTCCAGACTTGTAGAGCACTTTCCCCTTCCCTGAAAAGTAAACTGAATAGTAGGGTTTTCCCTCAGGATTTTAATCTTGCGGGGGAAATCCCTATATCAAACTGTTCTGTATATTTACTGGCTCATCCTCCGCTTCTTCAATCATGATCATTTTTCAAAAGCCCGCACCTCTGACTTGAGTGCAGGGACACCAATCTATGAGTCTCTGTCTCTCTTCCCATATCAAAGAAGTGTATAAAACTTTATCTGTGGAATATAACATATAAGGATTAATAATTATAGAAGGTACCTGGTTGACCGGTTGATTTACCCTCTGGAGTGCCCCCTGCAGTCCAAGTACAATTAGGATCACCTAACTCAGCACCATTGGTCACCCCATCACCGTCTGAGTCTGCGTTACAAAGGGCAGTTGTCCACTGATGTCCAGCAGCGGCGAAGGCCTTAACAAAAAAGTCATTATTACCGGGAATCAGTGGGAATGTACACACGACGTCCATAGAAAAAGATCTCTATTATATTTCAACTTTACTGGAAATAATCCAACGAAAATATGTAAGGGATAAATAACGAGATGGTGTTGAATAGTTTAGAGAAAACATTCTCTCCGAGGGCCGAAGGCCCGAGGAGGGGATGTTTTCTCTAAACCATTCAACACTATCGAGTTATTTATCTTACTTAAAAAAAAATTCCGTACTTTGGACCCCAAAGAAACATTTACCCATTCAAATATCCAACTTTGCTGTAACACAATAGGATGTAGCCCATTTAAATACTATTGTTTGCAGCTGACTGTAAAGTTTCACGTTACGTCACGATCTAGTTGACAGCTGCACTCAAGGTAAATTGTACACGCCTCCTAACTGCAAATAACTTTCCAACTTTGCTGTAACACAATCACGTGAATTGTATACGCTGGATGCATCTGACGAAAAAGATCGTGACGAAACGTGAAACTTAACAGTTAGCTGCAAACAATAGTATACAACCCTGACACAAAACAAAAGCCTAACCGAACACCCCTTTTATTCAAAAGTGGATATAGTAGTGAGCATAAAAACTCCTCTCATACCACTGAATGAAATTTGATGAAACTTTCACAGAATCTTTATTACATGTTGCCATTGTGCACCTCCTATTTTACTTTTTGGTCCTTTTCACAGGAAAACATTTTTTCACCAGTTATAACCATATGGGAGGCGGGGGGTACAGTCTCATCGAAATCCTCTAGTTAATGGACTAGTGAGCATAAAACTTTTTATTTAAACCCTCAAAATCAGTAATATTTTTAAGAAATTAGAGAGGTCCAGATGGTGTTTTGAATACCTTTGACCAAAAACTGAAGAAAACAACAGAATTTTGATAAAAGGTTGGGAATTTGTCATTGCATGTTGTAAGATGATAGTTTGTTGAGGAAAAGTGTTGGATTCTTATGGAGTTCCATTCGGACAATACTTGTGGTAGTGCTTAAACACAAGATTGGCGATGTTATGCGGAACCTGCTTTAAAACCATTCCATATCAAGATCTACAATAAAAACGGTGTCGAAAAATAGATGGGCTGTCAATTAATTAAGTTGTTTTGGGAAGTACGCCGGAAAAGTATGAAACAGAGATGAAGCTAGGATAATCTGAAGAGATTTACTGATGACGGACCCTGAAAATAATATTCAGCAATAAGACGTGATATAGTTTAATATTCAAGGTGAAAATGTATTTATGTGTCAAAAAGTGATGTTTTCAAAATGTAAGACCGAAAACATTTCTACAAGTGTGCAAAAGGTATGCTTCAGGTATTCGAATGAACCATTTGACCGATTTTTCCTTTCTAAAGAAATGGGAGTGTCTTTGTATGACAATCATCGTTCTAAAGATAGCTCAAGACGTTCCATTCAAACGGGAAATTTTACGCTTCATTGTAGTTTGATCTAACAAAGTGACACGCTGTTATTGGAATGATAGTCTATGAAACAATCAACTAAGTTTTTGGATCAATAAGAATTTCAACAGCCTTTTGATTACTACATATTAATTCTCAAATAAATATTACCATTCCAAATGGGTTTTTGTCATGTGTGTGATGAAGAGGGTCATAGTGCCCTACAGCCTCCCAAAAACCACTGCCACACGGGTTGAAAACAGCATACCCATTGGGAATCTGATCCCTGTAATACGGATGGGAATTAACATAAATAGCTCCAATAAAGAAAAGAAATAACCTGATCATTGTGTATTAAGAGCTTCCAACTAAAGATAGGATCGAACAGAATGTGAACCTTTTTTTAAATATGTATTCCTACTTTATCTCGCTATCAAATGCATGACCAGCAATGACTAGACACTGTTATACGTGACTGCTCTATAAAACGGGGTCAAAGTCGTTCTTCAACTTTCAGAATAATTCGAACATTAGGCAAGACTAAATAACGGACCAAGGTTTTTGTCTCAAAGTACATTTACATGTCTTTCTCTATCGCATAATTTGAAACAAATTGTTGATTTGATAGTAAATCAAATTCCCTATCCTGAAAGTTTAGAATGGATTATCCTTACAAATGATGTGCCATTTGAATTTGTTTTTAAAAAGACGTCGACATGAACCATTGGATGTATTTTTAAAATAACTCAATATATATTTTTATAATCTTAGACACCCATTACATGCAAATATTGTATACATGTGTATAGTTCTTACCTTTTACCTCAAAACGAAATTTATATAGAAGCTATACACATACTGAGTATCACAATTACTCTATGAAATATATGGAGATACATGTAACGAAAAGTATTCAAGCTCAAAAGTTCATTTAACGATACAAATTTGAAGCAGAGCATTCACGGATCTCCAAATCATAAGAGTTGGGATCAGGTGCCATGGAGGAGTAAACAAAAAACTACAACAACCGCCGTGTGCACCTTGTCATGATAGGGAAATTACGTAAAAGTAATATTCCGCCGAGAATTCAGTGTGTAAATAATGGCCTAACAATCAGTATAAAAAATTTCAGTCAGCATTAGACTTAATTAAATAATTGTATTTGCGGACATGTTCAATGTATGGACCATAGACCTTACGTAATGAAGACTTCAAACAAGACTGCTGATATTCTAGTTTCAACAACGAATATATGAGAAATATTTCGCCTCATCTCAGATTTACAAAGTTCTGTTGGCAAAAAACATAAATTTCTCTAGGTTTTTTAATAGTGATGCTTAAAATTGATGCTAAAAATCTGTCATATCCTACCTCTGAAGCATTGTCATGGTTCTTATTCAAGTTTTAAAGCCCTTTGAATTTATTGTCATTTATCAAATGAATGTATTACATTTATCAAAATTGTTTAAACTTATTGCTGCCATATTCATCAACATGTACATTACTAAAAACTGGAATAGTTCCACGTTGTTCTAAAGCTATCTGAAACGCAACTTTTGCAGATAACCATCAAGATAACGGAAAATCTCAAAAGATAAGAGGATGCTTTAAAAAGAATAGCCAAATCAATTTATACAAAACCTACCCGTTTTCGGTTCAATATTTAACCATATAAAGCAATATTTTGATAAACATCAGGGGCAATTGTTCAGACAATTAAGGAATGAAGCTTCTTTCAACTTATGTCATCCGATATATCATAACTTGGGGCAGTTTACGCTTTATAAACCGCGAAACCATTCCATATTACATGTAGGTTCAGAGTCTACGTGATGTATAAAAAATTTATGGCTCTCTGACAAAAAAATATTGAATTTTAAGAAAATTAGAAAAATCCATCTTTACAAACATTTCAGCTCCGAAAGATTTCAATCATTTATCTTGTTTGTTTTGAAGAATTAATTTTCTTTGGAATACTAGGTTTTCAATAAAGGTTGTCGCTCTTTCTATAGGAAATTAAAGTTTAAAATATGGGAAAAAAGGAACAGTATTCAAACTCAAGAGACCATTAAACAATATACAATTAAGCAGAACAATTACGGACCTCCAAAACATCAGAGGTGGGATTAGGTGCCACGAAGGAGTAAACATCACCTGTCGACCGGTACCACCCACTGTATACACCTTGTCATGATCGGGAAATAACGGAAACATCCATCGACAATTTAGTGTGTAATGGCCTTACAATTAGTATGAAAAAACTTAAGTCAGCACATGACTCAATGAATTATCTTTATTTGCCAGCAAGGTCATTGTATCGATCGTAGAACTTACTAAATAATCATATTAAACGAGACTGCTGATTTTCTTGCCTCATCAACTTGTTGTCAAAAATTTCCTCGTTTTAGAAATTGTTCATACATAGAGCATGCTGTTACGTATCGAATCAACTAAAAGATACAAATCTCGTATGCAGGTGTTGAAGGTATATTGCTGCTTACGTAAGGGAATCTGACGATTGAAAAGTCAAAGGCATCTTGCACGTTTGTCATGAAACATATGGAGATAACGAACAGTATTCAAGATGAAAAGTCCATAAGCAATAAAAATTGGAGCAGAGCAAACACAGACCTCTAAAACATCAGAGGTGGGATCAGGTGCCATGGAGGAGTGAGGTGAGCATCCTCTGCCGACCGGTCACATCCGCCGTGTGCTCCTTGACATGATCCGGAATTACGGAAAAATCCGTGGTGTATAAATAATGGACTTACAATCAATACGAAAAACGCCAGTCAGCATTTGACTAAATGTAGTATCCACACGTCAAATTTTATATTTAGTATTTACCGCTTGTGTTATATATCAAATCAAAGCTTATTAAAAATCATTTAAGAAAAATATAATTTTCAGATTCTCTGGTCAGGCATTGTTACTATAAATAGATTGCTAAATGTAACGGTATTGCTCTAGTGTGTGACCACTTTTCTGAAGAAAATATCTTGTATCATTGAGGTCAAACATAAGGTAATATATTCAAAATATAATCTCTCTTTTCTTTTTTTCTTTTACCCAGAATCAGAATTATTAAAGTTCAATTGCATCAAACACATAGATTGACCTGAATCATTAGATAGTGAGAGTCTTCTTCCTGTGTAATTAATTGGGTCACACGAGACACGCAACGTTACGTTGACGTTATGCTTACATGTATAAAAAGACGTCAACAAATCCAATCAATAAAAATGATCACAATATAGTTTTTAAAAAAGCAAAAATACTAAATTATATCTATTGATGAGAATTATTCCATAGTATAGCGATTGAAAACCTACAAAAAAGCATCATTTACTAGATTATATCTTGTTAAATAATGTCATATTTTCGCTAACTCACCAGAAGAATTACAGAATATATACTTAACGCGTTACACCGCAAAAACCAAAATTAAAGTATTCAGGAAAAGAGGAAGCGATAATTTTTCATGGACTTATAGTCATGAAATTTTGGAAATTGTCAACCATTTTTTATTACCTAGGATTATGTTTAAACTATAAAGGTAAAATCAATGTTACGCAAAAGGAATACTAGTAAGCTGAACAAAAGCTCAATTCGATTTGAACTGTAATATCCAGAATTTGAGTTCAACAGAACTGAAAACCCTGTGTCAAGTCTTTAATATATATATTGGAAGTTCTTTTGTTTGGAAGCTGGGTTTTTCATGAATCTCTAGAAATTTTAAGACTGTATTTATCCTTTTGTAAAATTAATCTTTGTGTTAAGCACAATGCAATTACAGTGGCGGATTTTTTTTCGGGGGGGGGGGGGGCTCACCCCCTCCCTTAAAATTGTCAAAGTTAGCGTAAATCATAGTTTCATCGAGAAAATGTAAAAATGACTACTCGGTAGACCTCAATTTTACCTACAAAATCTTTAGAATCCAGGAGCTTCCGGGGGCTTCACCCTGACCTCCTGCCTACTTTTGGCGCCCCCTCTAACTTTAATTCCTGGATCTGCGCATGGGATTTTTAGAGACTTATTATACAAAAGAAACTAAAAATCATGAAATTTCGATGTAAATTATTTTTAAAAAAAACTGCAGTTTAAATTCTTCATACAAATACATATGAATACATATGATGCGGAGAATTGGTCAGGAACGAGTATTAACTGGGAGCATGATTTAAATCATAAATTATTTAGATTAGGTATCGGAGAGTTATATTCTGAATAAATTATATAATTAATAATTAATTGAACAATTATGTTTGAACTGGACATTTAAAAAAAAAACTTGCGGAATATAAGGAATAAATATGACAGCAGCTTATAATAAATTCTGAAAGGGGAAAAAGAGAGGAAAACATTTAATTAAAAATACTTAGTATAGACATTGAACATTGTTTCGTAGGTTTAGCCCCCCCCCCCACACTTTCCATAGACACGTCGCAGTATAGGTTAAATATAGGGAAAGTGCTGTTGTTTGGAAAAAAATTTAGTACTGAAGTTCGAAACCTAACCACTACCCCCCCCCCCCCTCCCCAACGAGTTTTTGGGACATTCCTTTTTTTTTTTTTTTTTTTTTTGCTTGTCAGGTTTTCTTTGAAGGTATGATTTTTTTTTTACACTTAGCCCCCCCTCCCCCCACTTTCAATTTGCTTCCGACGCCAATGGTTCATATTTGGCACAATATACCATAAATAATGAAATATCATCCACATATTCACAAAGAGCCGGTAAAACAAATAAACATTTTGTATACACATGTGTACTCGTACATGCAGCACTAAGTTTACTTCGAAGAATTCAATGAGCATGCAATTTTTTCATCACCATATATACATGTATGTTCACTAAATTACATGTAGATGTCAATGACTGGGCCGAACTTTTGTCTAAGACATTTGATATATACTTTAAGTTAATGATTAATTGTATTTAATGACAAGGTCATTATATCGACCATAGAACTTGCGAATGATGACTTTAAACGAGACTGCTGATATGCATGCTTGTTTCATCAGCTTGTTTGTCAATAATTTACCTTTTAGAAAGGTTTTAGAAATTGTTCATACGTAGAGCATGCTCTTGCGTATCGAATCAACTGATATACGTAAGCTCCATGTGCAGGTGATGAAGGTATATTGATGCTAAAGTAAGGGATGTGGAGGATAGAAAAATTAAAGTCTTCACGTTTATCAAAGAGTTTGGTTGTTACATGTAGATTATAATTCACATCTTTTTCAAGTAAAATATCCAAATTGAAACAGATGTCGAGTTGAGGGCCACAGCAAAAGTTTTCTTCTTTTCACGCATAAAATTTTGCACAAATTCTGCTTCACATGAATACTAATATGGGTCTACTAAAAACGGGCCGAAATTGGTACACATGGGAATTCCAATAGATTGTTGGAAGACCTGGTCTCCAAAAACAACAAAGATGTTGTCAATCAGAAACTTAAGCATTTTTTTTAATGTTGACTTTTGAGTTCTTGTGTGTATAATCAGAATGTTTTTCTGCAAATGACCAATGACAAGGTAAGTAAATTTACGAGTTCCATTTTTATTGAAAAAGCAGTTGTCAATGATATCAAAAAGCCTGGACTTTAATTTATCGTGGGGAATGGTTGCGTATAAAATTGAAAAGTCGTAAGTTTTTAAGTCGTTGATTTTGGTAAATCTTGTGATTTCAAATTGTCCAAAAGTTCTTTGGAAAGCTTGGTTGTTAGATTACGTTTAACGCTTAAATATGAAGCAGACGTTTCAGACTCTGCGGTATCTTTTATTTCAAACTCATTGGGATATATTGTATGGTCATAAGAATGGAAATAATCATTGTTAATAGACAATACGTCGTCGATAAATAAAACAAACGACAGATGTATAATAAGCATGGAGATTTCCAATATCTCTCTTTTTGGCAAAAGCAACTCTAAATCAATTTCATTAACAAGAACACACTGTACATGTTCAAAAACAACGATACAACTTTTGTCTGTGAGTTATTTTCTATTTTAGTTTTCCTTGCAAGAAAATAATTAATATTACTTCTTTTGGAAATACATTGCACATAATCTGATGGTAACACAGAGACTGAGGGTCTCTTTGGTCGTCAGTTTTTCTTTCCTCATCAGCCCACATTCTTTCAGAGCCAGAACACACGGAGAGGACATGTTCATTCTCGATACATCGCTGGAAGACTTTGGCAAGCGATGATAAATGTCCAAATTATTTTGCTCACATTTTTTCAGGTACTTGACATAAATTTCGGCTTCTGTTGGTCTATATCCAATATTTGTCAGTACAAATCCCACCTAAAACAGGGTTGAATAAAATGTTAGAAAAAATATGAAGTATATTAAAATTTTACTCAATATGTTCGTACTTCGTTAGACTTAAAGGTTCAACCACTAACTATATTTTATATTCTAAAATTTGCCTCATAGCTTACTTGTATCACGATTTAAAAACATGAAAAAATGAATATTAACAACATTATAGAGTGCACAAAATGATGTGTGAAATTGTTTTTAAATTTTTTATTCTTTTTGATTAAACGTATTTAAGAATTGACACACAAAGACACCAAAAAAAGCCCGAAGGCTAATTCTGGCCCATATATATATCTAAAACAAAAAAAGAGATCTCGTATATTGGGCCAACATACATAGTCAAAGTTAATATGAAATGTCAAAATGATCTGGATTCAAATTCTCCGTACGGTAAAGTTTTTCAAGCATGCCTGTCATTGAAACGGCCATTTCAAGTTTTTTTGTTTTTGAAGAAGAGGATTTAAAAAAGCTAAGCAATGTTTAACAGCACTAGACTGCAAATTTACTTTGAATGTAAACCTTTTACGGTGGCCTTATGTTAGAGTCTTTTCTTTGCGAAGGGGGGTCTGGGTCCAAATTTCGTTTGCCGCACAGATCTAGACATAAGCTATTTCGGATGAGATCTTACAATTAAAGACAATGTTCCGTGTCACAGTTAGCGTTGGCATGATAAGAAACCCTCACTGCTGAATGGCTTTTAGTTTCCTAATTTTAAAGTTCTTCTTCATTATTTGGTGTCGCTCGTCTACACGAGGGAAAAGTTCTGAATGCAACGTTCACATAACTCAACACACAAATAATAATTATATTTTGCACCAGTTATAATATTAAGCATCACCATTCGGTACATAAAAATTGTATAATCCAAGGTTAACCAACCTGTACTCCAAGTTGTTGTACCCATGACACAAATGTAGATGGCACCGTCCAAGCTAAGAACCACCCAATTTGTCGGAGTTGATCGTGAATTGATAGACTGGTGTCAAATGTGAACCCATATAAAATTTCTTTCAGTATCTCAAATGTAATATCTGAAACATAATAATTTCAAGTAATTACATTTTAAATCATAAAGAAAGAGAAATTGAAGATTAAATCAAAAAAGAAGAAAGAATATGCGTATAACTGCTTTAGTAATTAATATTTCAAACGCATACACCGTACATATATGCTTACCCCCTGTTGAAAAGTCCGAATATAAGGAATCGCTAGTGATCTGAAGCAAACTAGTAAAAAACCCAAACACTAAGGGTAAGATATAGATGCCTTCCGAGCAAGACTCGTATCCACAGACCCGAATGTAGAGAGACCTTCCTGTCAACGAAAGACAGAGTATGACGATAGACACAGAAATTCCCCAAAGTTCGCACTTCCGGATAGTTCCTAACCGCATGTAGCCGGCAACAAGAAGGAAAACCAGTATATGAGAGGCGTTCAGGTTTATTATGCTACCATAGCGACCACCAATCAGGTAAAATTGTGAAAGAAACATCATGCTCAAAATCATGTTGATTGGTGTTGCTATGAAATGGACCCAACGCGATAAAAAAGTTGCATGATTCACTTCAAATATGTACATTTCTTTCAAAATGTCCATGAAAGTCCACCTTGTCAACGAGTTACCCTCGAGAAATTTCGTTATCATCTCTTTCTCCACGTCTTCAATCTGTGTTTTCTTGTTTCCACTAGCTGAACATCCATCAGATATTTTCGCATTTACAGATCCCTGTACCACAGTCGTCCAAGGTTGTAATATTCTCTCTGATTTTAGAGACAATGCAGGTGACTGGCTAACCAAATCCTCGAAGTAACATTTCTTTACAGATGTTTTTACCTCTTCTTTCCATATTGACTTTGTATACAGATAGAAAGATAACGTGTACTCTCCTCTCGATTTTTCACAGATAATGGTTCCTTTGAAGAAGACTGGTCCTGCGTGAAAGACGTGTTTGGTATCATTGACAACCCTCTCTACATAATCGGTGACTTGTTCATCATAAACTTCATTGTTTTCATCATTAGAGATTTCAAGGGTTTGGCAGTAAATTGTCTCGCCTTGAAATAAGCCCTCATCGCTTCTGGAAAAATCAGACCCTTTTCGCTTATACAAAGCCCTGGAAATCAAAAAAAAAATTGTATCCAATATTATTAGAATTATTCAGTTTTTCTTTAAACAGGATTCCCGCCTTCAATTATCAAACTAGAACCCTGGGGTCCAAGCAGTAAATATATAAGCGAGGTTAAAACGGATGCCATGGGCAAACGACAGGCTACGCATGCGCGAGAATGCTAGAGAGTTCGCCCCTTAGGCAACTTGCCCGTAGAATAATTCGCCCTATTCGAATTAGAATATGCCATTCATTGACAAATCGCGCTTTTAAATCCGTATATCGTATTTATATATTCATTGGCGGATCCGAATTTCTCTCTTCTACGTATACTTTTATATACAAACTAAACTTTGATTAGAACTCTGGCACAAGCATTTTAAAAAGTAGGAAGAACTTGCTGTATATAGATACATATAACTTAACAGCTTGAATAAAAAACGTCATTCAACGACTAGTTCTAGCTTTTAAAAGAACAAGTTTTCACCTGCATTAGTTTTGTGCATCAAGGCTCGAAAAATAATTTGATATATCAGCAATCCAAATACCGCTTGATAGAGGTCTGTAGCAACCGGGGGAGGGGGAGGCTCCGACAAAAAAATCTGTGTACTACAGAGCTGTGCTAAAGTGTACCATCAGATCTATTTTTCTCATGATAGATTTCTTCCGTATAAATCCAGAACAGGTGTCTAGTCCCAGCCATTATGGGTTACATGTATCAAACTAGCCCGATTTTTTAAACTGACAAAACTAAAGGCTAATCGGAGATAAAATTTAGCAATTTTGCTTTGAGACTACAATTAATCATAAGTAGGCAGATCATTGTAGAAAATGTGAACAAACCTACATGAATATTCACTACACCTGGAATTTTTCTTAAATTGAATTTTGGTTAGAAACACATGCATATGGTCCACGTATTGCAGTCCTTTTTTAAAGGACAGCAACTTGTATTAATTCATTGTGGTCACCAGTTCCATTGAAATGGATCCAGTTCCACAGAATATCTGAAATTGCCAACTTAAAAAAAAGAAAATTAAAATCCCCAAACTGAAGAGAATCTCCATTGCTGGTCTTTGAAAAAAAGGAATTATCAGTCCCGTAAATTGATAGCATACATTATTCAGATAATTTGTGAATTTGTGAAAATCAACGTTAAAGAAGGTATAACAAATCGATTTATTTGAACCTAGTGAAGTTAAAACAAACATTATATTCACTAGAGGAAGTCAGTATTTAGGTTCAATCTGAATCAAAATTTTTTACAAGAAATACTTTATTATGACCAAATCTATTTAAAAAAATTACAATACACGCAAAAGTAGATTTCAAAATATACATATTTTGAGTAAAGACGCCATAATTCTTTATCAGTAAATGTCCGTCAAAGTGAATAATTACTGTCTGAAATTATGACATTCCATTGTCACTTCTTCGAAACGCAATCGTAATTAAGTGATTTTTAAATGCTTTTCATAGATAAGTTTTGCAAGACTTTAGTGCAAGCAGACGCAGTGCATAGTTTTGTTACTATATAAACTATTTCACGATCCTTGATCACTTTTTCTAGATGTAGGACAGAAGTATTTAGAAAGACCACACTTGATTATACTTATACATACCTCCTCCTGATCAGAGACATGGCCTCCAAAACTGGTTTTCAAAAAAATTAAAAATCCTTACGCCAAGGTAAGCTGGTATCCAAAAACTGAGTTAGCTCAACATTGTCAATGTGAATTTTAAACAGCACTTGATCACGCAGTGTAGGTAACAATATTATGTAATTGATTTATTATTTACCTGTTACACTACATACGCGCTTCCCAGATGAAATGTACGGCAGTTCGATCGGGAAAACTGAAATTAAAAATACCTTGAGCAGTATTCCATTATGGAAACAACTTTTTATGAAAAAAATGATTTAAAAAAATTGAGATTAAATGATATGCCTCACTTTATGTATTCAAACATGATTATAGATAGGTACATGTAGATCACAAACATCATTTTGTGAAAAAAGATTTCTAGAGTCCTTTATGAATTAAGAATTTCTTAGACTACGAGGGGTGATCAAAAAGTTCGCGAACAAATTGAATACCTTATATAAAACATATAAAATTAGCTTTCACTGTTCATTATTTTTAAAGTATCCTTCTCAGATTTTATTTATAAAATGCACATCTTCCTCTGTTCTACCCATTCGCGAATCACATGATCTAGTCGGTCACATGACAGTCTCTGAAGCATTCTTTTCATGAACGCCAAAATATTTTTCAGAGTCTTATATTTCTTACCATGCAAGTTAATTTTTATAACAAGAACATACCATTTGTCAGAAATGACCAAATCTCGGAAATTATATTTGGATATCCTTTCCCAGAAAGAACATGATGACCATCAGAACCCAAGTCCTCTTGTCTTAGGAACGCCGTTTATCCAATATGGATATAGTTGTTGAGACCTTATTTTTATCATATTTGATTTGTTAAAGATCTTAATTAAATGATATTTTAGGGATTTAATAATAAGATTATTGTTAAGATATTCAACCATTTTTGTAGCTGTTACTTCGCAATCCTTTTTAACAAATTGTCTAACAAAGGACACATCTCTTCCCTAGCTTGCTTTCGCTGGGCTACAAAACAAACTTCATTTTTTAACCCTCTCCCTCCCATCACTTAAACAATCAATCCAATTTATGATTGAACGTCTTGAAGGTATATTGTCTTCGTAAACAATGTACAAATTATTATAAGATACTTCAAAGGAATTTTCAAGTTAAGCTTTAAACTTTACAACCATTCGTTGCTCGACTGTCACAACCATTTTTCGTCACGAGTCACCTACTTATTGACGTCATTTTCTCATTGAGACGTCACAATGATGGAGAAAATCATTACTTTTCATATGCTATATAATACATGCGCATGACTATAGGTGTGCCAAATTTCAGTCTGATCTGAATTGCGGTTTTGTAAATATAGAAATAGTTCGCGAACTTTTTGATCACCCCTCGTATTATTTTATACATCTTCTTTTACTATAAAACACTTTTTAAGATAAATATGTCGAATTTTATTGTGAAAAAAGCGCTCCATATTTTCTGAAAACTGTTGTAATAAACTGTAAAGAAAATCTACACAGGCATCTAAAAGTGATCAGGGGTTATCAATGTCACCCTAATCAATCATATCGGACTAACTCTTCTTTCCTCCATTCTCCTTTTAGGCCGAAATACATTGATATAATTCAAACATTTTTTTCCTAAAAAGAATACTGTATTTTCCATTTCAATAAATCCTCATTCATTTTTCTTTTGAGTTGTTTTTCAATAATGTAAAATTTTAATTGGGACTCCTAAACATTTCACTTCTTCGTATCAACACAGTTACCGGAAACTTCATAAATCATTCACGGTGAGGTATTTCTAAAGGGGATATCGGATGACATCTTAACTGTCAGATTTTAAAGATTTCTGCATTGTAAATTTCTTCAAACCCATTTGTGTTTCTTGTTCATTGAAAATGACACGAATAGTTCTTAAATGCATAATAATAATAATAGTCATTCACTCCTATACAAAGAAGCAAACATTTTTACCAATCTTGATCATTATGCGACCGTATCCTTTAAAAACAAATCTGATCTCGCGTCATTGAAATACATGTTATCGTCGATATTGTAAGATTTTTAAAATCATCAGTCTTCACAGACACTTTACCGGACATATGTTCAACTATATATTGACAACACATCTAAAAAAAAAAAAAAACCCAATGCAACCCCCACCCCGAATGAAAATGACGACCTACATTCGTAGAATGTGACATTTACGTGGAACAAGTGCTGTTATACATGTATTTGTAAATAATAGCTATAGATTTCAATAAACACTAGTATGGGTGACACGAAAAGTGGAATAGCTCGAGATAAGAAAACAAAATGGAGATGATTTTGATATTGTTGGTTTGTCTTTGCCAAGGTACTGGTTCATTATTTTTCTATCAGCTGCATGTATGTATATAGAACAGCTGCAGTGAAAACTTTGAATTCATATCAACAAAAAATACTTTCGACTTATCTCTTATAATGTGATGCATATAACAGTGACATTGATTAAACCTTGGATATTGGAATTGTGTCTCTCTTTAAAGCCTTTCTGTAAATCTAACTTAAAGAAATTTTACTCATGCCCTCAGCAGTATTGTGTTAAGCAGTTTGAATTGCCATGCGCAATATCGTGCAAAATTTTCTTAATAAATTAATAAGTTTTCTCTACTATTTGATATCTCTTTGTAATTTTAGTTATTTAACTTTTAATACATAAGGCTACTGACCTTGTATATATATCGGTCATGTTTTATTTTTAGCCTTTGCCTTGTGTCCTAATGGATTTATCCGACACGATGATTCCTGCTACCACATTCTCAGAATCAAGTCTACGTGGGCTGAGGGCAGGGTAAGTGCTTCAATAAGTCTTCAAATAAAACTCATCTTCCACATGTTTTTGTAAATATTTTCGTTAATTGTTATTGCTAATACATGGAAATTAACTACAAAATCCACATTTTGTGAAGTCTATGTAAGCTTTATGTAAAATATTAATTAAATCTGTAAAAAAAAATATTTCAAAATCTATATGCAGATGTATTGCCATGCTTATGGAACCAAATTGGTCAGCATCGAAACCCAGGAAGAAAACGCATTTCTTGTACATTATCTGAAAAGTGTCCATGGTACGAATAGATTTTTCTATACTTATATATATGAATTGTTTATTGTTTTTTTTTGTTTCTCCATATCATTCATATATTACAAATCAGAGATGACAATTTAGGAGGAGCATGAAGTTAAACATTTTATAAGAATTGTGTACATATCATGACAGGCTAAGACATTTAGTTTGTTAGTTTGCAGACAGATTGGGGTTCCCCATACCAAACTAGAGGGTAGGCATCACACTTAGATCTATTCCACTGGTCAATTTCTCAAAAACTCTATCACTTGTGTCCATCTGTTTTGTTTCCATTAGAAAGATGTTCCAATTTTATCCTATGGAAAAAAAATGAACTTAATAAAACAGAGTTCCCGTCTCTTATCCACAACTCCATCTATGAGGGGTGATCAAAAAGTTCGCGAACAAATTGAATAACTTCCATAAAACTAATAAAATTGCGTTTCAGTGTTCATTATTTTGTATCTCTGTTTTAATTGAACTTTTGCTGCTCATGCGCGATTCACGTGGTCCTCGCGGTCACGTGACATGCTCCGAAGCAGTCTGTTCAAAGACACTATCATATTTTTCCATATATTTCACCTTGCATATATTTTATAACAAATCAGTGTCAGGTATCATTACTTAATTTAGGAGGTAGGAAAATGCAAACAACCATTTGCATGGAAGCGTTCTTTTTAATTTTTTATAAAATAAACAATATTTTAGGAATTTAATTATTATATAATTGTGTACATAACTTGGCGATCTTTCATAACAAATTGACAACAGACACATCTCTCCCCCAGCTAACAAAACAAAAGGCATTTAGTTTAAAACAATCAATCCAATTTATTATTGTTACTTTGTACAAATTTTTATAAATTACTTCAAAGGAATTTTTAAGTTATACGTTAAACTTTACAGCCGTTCGTTCCTCGAGTAAGACTGGGGCAACCATTTTTTGTTAAGAGTCACCTACGTATTGACGTCATTTTCACATTGTGACGTCACAATGATGGAGAAAATAAAATCTTTTCATTTGCTATTTATAGAACATGATCATGACTATAAGTGTGCAATATATGCGGTATATTGCATATGTTTGCCCCCAAAAACTTCCTGAAATGTGCTGAATTCAATAAATTGTGCCAGAAAATTTTTAGTTCCAGAGCAGTGTATTTTTCTGTTTCCAAACTTATATCCTTTTTCAGAAAGAGGACAAAATGGACAAAATTTCAACAATTTAATCCTGTGTGTTCAGAAAAACATATTTCAACTTTATATCAAAATATTTATCCTGAACACACATTCGCTGTCTCTTATTTAAAATATCCACAACATTTTTCCAAAATTCATAAAAAACTGAAATTACGGTGACGTCAAAAAGTTTTTATGAAATTATTCAGTGCTTTGAAGTCAGCATATACTCCCCTGTTTAAGGACTTAATTAAATATTACTCCATCAAAGTTTGATTTTGGGGGGCAAATGTTGATTAATACCGCATATAGTGATCAAAAAGTTTTTGATCACCCCTCGTATATCACCAACTACAGTATCTGCATGATTTAATGCGACTTTCGCAGAATTTTCATGAAATAGCGCTATCATACACATCCAAGATTACGTTTTGACAGGAGAGGTACATGTGTTAAGGGTTTTACAAAGCAAAACAATAACAATGCCATATGATACCCAGGTTGTTCACGCAATTCCTCCTTAAACTCTGACGAAAATACAATGGTACATTTACAGATTTTTATTTTCACACTGCTAGGAAATGAACTTTATCACTATACTCAAATGCGAGCAGGTAAACATTTTCTTTTAGCCAAGTGCTAGCACCTCTATTTCGAAAATAATATATTCCTTTCACTTGAGAAATTGAATATGCACAGCTTTAGTGGAATCATCATAAGCTTTAGCAATCAAATGTAGAATTAAAAATGAAATTTGTGCAGGACAGTTCCATTCGCCGAGATTTTGGATAGGAGCCACGGACATTGCAGAAACTGGTACCTTTGTATGGGAAGGGACTCAGGTGCGCCTGGACGCAATGTTCACCAATTATCGTGGCGGATCTCCAGATAACGGGGGCGACGATTCTGATGAGCACTGTATGGAAATGTCTGATCAGTACAACTATGAGTGGAATGACAACCAGTGTGACAGTAAATTTTATCCCATCTGCGAGAAAAGGTAGGAATTCAGGGTAGTGTGATTGAAACACAAAACCAAAGTAACTGAATATCAAAATGAAAAAAAAACTTGTATGTCACATAAAAAATCTCATTAATTTTTCCAATTTTTCAACATTCAAATTTTAAAATAGGTTTTTGTAATCGAGTATGCATGTAAAAGAAAATCCAACATTCAACTTAAAATTATATTAAAACCATATTTTGTGCTCCAACTAAATATCTTTTAAAATTTGTTTACCCATCATAAATAAAAAACTAGGATTTTTCATCCATCAAGGCACATTGGTTTGACTCTTCTATTTCGAGTTATTCATGACGTTTTACCAATCTCTTTCTTTCTTTATATTATATACGTCATTTATGTGTGAATACAAATTCATGATTAATTAAATCAGATAATTATGAAGTAATTCAATTGTTCAATATGAAGATATTATTTGTAATTTCAGTGCAAAAGAGACAGCCATGATAATTGGATAATAAAGTTTGCTTTAAAAGTTGAATATGATGGTCTTTATATTTACGAACATTGGGTAATAAAGCATGCTTAGGGAAATTTGAAAATGATTTACGTAATAATATTGATATCCGTAACGAGTACAGACAAGATGGCAGTACAAAATGTGGTCTTCTGAAAAGAGTTCATCATAATATTATACATCCATTGCTGTTTTTGAGGCCAATACGATGATATTTGCCACTTGAGGAGTATAATATTCACTGAGCCCGAAGGGCGAATTAATCAAACATTGAATTCATACTTTTGGATGTTGTCTATCCTATCACACACCTGACCATGTTGAATTGAATATCTCGCGTTAGCGCGTATGATATTTTTTAGGACCAACGACATCCAAAAATATGAAATTCAATGCATATATTTACATTCTCTAAATTTCCCTCTTCATAATTGTTTATTTCGGTAATGTTTAATGTGCATTTAGTGCCCTATGTTATTGGTGTGCTTATTAGACGTAACAGCCGTTTGTTACGTTGGAAAGTTGAATAACAGAAATGAACATTGCGAGGAAACAAATGGGAAATTAATTTTTAACCCACATTTGTTGTATTTTACGTTAAGCTAACAGGGTAGATGGGCCAGGTATGAAAAAGAAGACGTTGACACTTTGTCAGAATGGATTAAATGCATCAGATCCATGTTAAACTCGCGTATAAAAAGGCAGAGCCATATGAAAACATCTATGCTTCTGTATTCAATAATCCAGGGGCCCATTTTACAAAAGGACTTACGACTTAAGACCAAACTCAATTCTTCATATAACTTCATAATTAACATTAAATTGAAAATTATTTTAAACTTTTTAAAAGGAATGTGGCAAGATATTATTACACAAACAATTCAAAAGAGAATTATTCATTTTGCAAAATTTTAGAATCATTTGAAGACTTTGGTCTTAGTCGTAAGTTTTTTTTGTAAAACGGGCCCCAGAAGTGAAAAAAAGAACTGGATAGATTACATGATAAGTACGTACTGGTCCCTGCTGACAAAGCAGGTAACAGCATTGTCTTTATAAGGCTCATTATATAAGTTGTATTTTACAAGAACTTGGTTTTAATTCTACAAGTGGCAATCCTACTTATACTCATAGTTCCCTTTCTAAGGAAGAATTTTTTCAAAATCATATATCAGTTTTGAACATTTTTTATTAAAATATCCCAAAGAACCAAAATGAATTTGAACTACCAAATATTTATTGGATTCCGAAACTTAATAAGAATCCTTACAAACAAAGATATACTGTATACAGGGTTATTTTAGCCCTGTGTTAATTTCGCCCTTTTGAACTTGTGAACAATTTTGCCCCGTTTAAAATTCGCCCATTCATAGTTCTGTTTAAGAATATATGAGGTGTAATTTAAATTCGCCCCGTTTTAAATTCAATCACAAAGATAAAACATTTCCCTTAGTATAGCGGGTTCAAGTAAATGTTCAACCAAGCCTCTTTCTTTACCCCTCACTAAGATATTAACAGTAGTGAAGCAGAAACAAGAGTACTGTGCAATAATACATTCAAGAAGTGGTGTAAATGAGATGTGGATACTTAAAAAATTCCAAGGAACATTTGGACAATTTGAAATCACAAGATTTTACCAAAATCAACATCTTAAAAACTTACGACTTTTCAACTATACACAACCATTCCCCACGATAGATTAAAGTCCAGTCTTTTCGATATCATTGGCAGCTGCTTTTCCAATAAAAACGGAACTCGAAAATTTACTTACCTTGTCATTAGTCATTTGCAAAATTATTTTGTTAAAAAGCATTCTGATTGTACAAGCAAATACTCTGAAGTTGACATAAAAAAGATGCTTGAGTTTCTGATTGACAATATTTATGTTGTTTTGGAGACCAGGTCTTCCAACAATCTATTGGAATTTCCATGGGTACCAATTGCGCCCCGTTATTAGCAGACCTATTTTTGTATTCATATGAAGCAGAATTTGTGCAAAATCTTATGCGTGAAAAGAAGAAAACACTTGCTGCGGCCTTCAACTCGACATTCAGATATATCGACGACGCATTGTCAATTAACAATGGGAATTCCCATTCTTATGTCGATACGATATATCCTGGTGAGCTTGAGATAAAAGTTACCACAGAGTCTGACACATCTGTTTCATACGAGTATTTTACTTAAAAAAGTTGTTAATGGTAATCTAACAACCAATCTCTATGATAAACGTATGGTTTTAAATTTTCTATCGTCAAATTCCCTTACTTATGCAGCAATATACCTTCATCACCTGCATACGGAGTTTTCATATCTCAGTTGATTAGATACGCAAGAGCATGCTCTACGAATGAACAATATCTGCAATGAGGTAAATTATTGAAAAACAAGTTGATGAAACAAGAATTTCAGCAGGATCGTTTAAAGTCATCATTTCGTAGGTTCTTTGGTCGATACAATGACATTGTCAACAAATACAATTTATCATTGAGTCAAATGCTGACGTTTTTCATACTAATTGTTAGTCCATCATATATACACTGAGTTGACGACGGATTTTCCCGTCATTTCCCGATCAATGCAAGGAGCACACGGCGGGTGTGACCAGTCGGCAGGGGATGCTCACTCCTCCACCTGATACCACCTCTAATGTTTTGGAGGTCCATGTTTGCTCTGCTCCTATTTTCTTTTGTTTTATGGACTTTTGATCTGGAATACTCTTCGTTATCTCCATATGTTTCATTTATAAATTTGAGTCATAACAATATACATTTTGGTGTTCCTAGATATTGAAAATGCATGTAGTTCCTACTGTGTATTCTACCGCGCGTTGACAAGGTTTCGCGTATATTGAACGTAAATATTATACCATTGACATCACTACTGCATTTGAATATCCTTCAACCCCCCACCTTTTTTCTTGACAATTTTCATCAACACCATAACTTTAACTTAAGAGAAAAATATGTCCATGTGCAACCAACATCACTTAAGCAATAAAATTATAAATATATTTTGTTTGGTTTGCTCGAAGCCATTTGATAAATTTTCACTTATTCACGGATAGCACCAATGAAGACTGCAGATTCAGACCTATGCTTAAAGTTAATTATGGCAAATCAGAAGTTTATTTGAATAGACATATTTTAAGCTCAAAGACCATTGAACAATATGTTTTTAAATTGATTTATAGAAACCAAGTTGAACATCCCCTGTCCACAAACAACATCCGCTGAGTGCTTCTGGAAAATTCAAAATCACGCTATACATAAAAACTTGTAAAACAAAAAGATACTAGATTGAAAGGTCATTGTATCGACAATGGAACTTTTGAAATGTTACCTTAAAGGAGACTGTTAATATTTCTGTTTGTCAGTATCTTGCCTAGTTTGAGAAATTGTTTGTGCAATAATTTTGCAAATGACCAATGACAAGGTAAGTAAATATACGTGTTCCATTTTTATCGGGAAAAAAGAATCTAATGTCTGTGATGTCAAAAAGACTTGCATGGCTGTACATGTATATAGTGTTTAAGGTTCGAATGTGTTGATTTTATTGATTTTGATAAAATTTTGTGATTTCAAATTTTCTAAAGGTTCTTTGGAGTTTTTAAGCATCCCCATCTAATTTACAATATATTTCAAATTGCACAATTCTTCCTCAGTTTTCTCCTTTTGTTGTTTTTTATTTATGTTTTGAGGATTAAAGAAGTTCATATATAGAAACAAGCCATGTTTCTTTGTATGGATTTTTATTTAGTATAGACATCCAGTATAAGTAAGGTAACAACTCAAGTTCAGTTTATTGGGAATATTAAGTATTTTCATATTATTGAGAAAAGATTTATAGGAATTTCCGCCTTAGAAGGAGAGTTATGGGTATAATAAGGATTACAACACGCAGGATTAAATCCCATGCTGGGATATTTTTCGTACAAGCCTCTAGTACGGCACTGGACTCGTTTTATACCACAAACTCGTAACTGTACACGGCACCTAGATCATTGAGCAGTTGGAGACCTAGGGAATCTTTTTTTGTCGTCCGAATATACCATTGTACTTACAATTTCATCCAAAGCTTCTACAGTGCAATTCGAACTCCGCCGTAATACAAATGTTTAAAATGTTCATAAAATATTAGTACATGGCATGTAGTATTATATGAAAGACCATATTTTATCAACGTTTTTAATTGATTTATAAGTTGAACACGTCAAAACATACAAACAAACACGCATTTAAAAACTGTAAAACAAAAAACAGAAAAACAAGACAAATTGACATTACTTTCTGTATCCAAAGCAAAAGATTAGCTTCTAAAGATTAGAAAAAGTCATAGTTAGAGCTTGGCCCCGTTATATCGCTGATACGACGACTGCTTTTAAAGAAGGAGGAGAAGTGTTTGTTGTCTTCCCTTGCTAATGAAGAACTGCTTGTCTGGTTGTTCACATAGTTTGATGGGAAATCATTGAGAGAAATGTCTGTAGGAGTTAGATTACTGCTGAGATCCTCAGACCGTGCGCTGGAAACTGTAAAATGTACAGGAATTGTTTATATCTGCTTAAATAACTAAACATAACCGTTCTATATATTATATACAAACAGAAAATAATTCGAATAAGTTTTTTTTATTCTAAATATTTTTATTTAACTTTACAAATGTTGTAATCAGAGAATGAAAAGCCAAGTGGGATAGCTTAACTTATCTGTATAAGACGAACATTTCCGGACAAAGTAGCATGGAAGTGTTTTCAAAGATTATCTTCAACTTTATTTTTCATTCAGCAATATTAATGAAGCAAAGTAATTTCTACGGAACTTTATTTTCAAATATAATACGTTGGACTGAATGTTCTTCATACCGAATACAAAGGGTACGATAGAAAATTTTCTGTATAAATAAAAAAAAAAGAAAAAAGTTAGCTTTTTCGGAAATGACTTCGCAATACATGTATTTAAAAAGGTTCTTTAAATTACCAGATATGGTTTCCATTTTGGGAGTTGATAGAGGCAATGAAGACGTCTTCCTATTTAATGATTAAACAACAATTATGTACGGATAACAAAAGATTCTAGATAAACACGTTTTACCGATTTGTGATACATTGAAGAAAATTGCAAATAACGTCATTTACTCAGTGGATGAATTTTTTTTTTTTGGCAGTATGTCTAACTGATTGGTAAAAGATGTGATGAAAAGATCATTTCACTTAATTTACCTAACTTTATGGACAGAATTTTTAGAGCTACGTCGATTGTTGGTTGCTTTCTCATTCTCAAGTGAGTTCTGCTTTCTCTCATCTTCCTTTACTGTTCTGAAAACGGAATGAAATGGTAAATATTGAAAAATCAACTATGTAAATATTGTAAAATATTCTCAATAGCCTTAGCAAATTACCCCTCCTCCTTTGCAAAACTTGTGTGATCCTTATCAAAGTTTTGTGTTTTGCTACATCCTCTTCGGAATAAAATGACTGAGTTTACTATTGCTAGAAGACATACAAGACCAATAGTGCCACATCCCGCTAAAACTCGCCAGTCGGAGAAGTCTATGCCCTCGGAATCGTTAGTCACTTGGTACGTAGCACTTGCCTGAGGTGCTACTGAATTCACTGTACCTTGGACAATGACACGGACCAATGCAGATGCTGACAAAGACGGCGACCCCGCGTCTTCTACAACTGTGGTAAAATTGACTTCAGTCCCTTCAGCCATTCCATCTAAACTCTCACTTTGGTAGAGGATACAGTTTGTCGAAACAACAAAAAGACTTGTATAATGGTGGGGGTCCATTTGACACGTTAGTTTTGCATTTAGACCACTATCACTATCACTTACATTCATAGTCAGTAACTGAGAACCGATTATGGAGTCTGACGCAATAAAAGTAATATATTCTGGCCATTCAAAGCGTGGATAGTTATCATTGATATCAACAACATTGATGTTCACTGTTGTTGTTGTGAAGAGACCTTTGTTGTCAACAACTTTAACTATTAAGGAATGCGATGAGGGTAGTTCCGAATCAATATCATAGTCTTTAGCCAGAGACATTGTACACGTTGTAGGATGTATGCTGAAGTACTGGTTGTCGTTCCCACTTAATATAATACACGTGGCAGTATCACCAATGTCAGGATCAGAGATCGTAATGTTTAAATTCAACACAGTTCCACTCTGAAAGCATAAATGTATCAAGTTTACAAAGCTTTGGGGAAAAGGGAAAATAGATGTCAAACTTAAACGGTTTAATAATCTAAAATTATAGTAGAAAGTAGAAACCATGTAGAAATGCATGGTACCTGATAAAAAAAATAAAATTCCAATCTACAGTTTATTAGATTTAATGCTCTTACTGTACTTTCTTGAACTGTCACGTGATAAATGCTGTATTGTACAAATGGAGACTCGTTCACATCTGCCACTGCTATCATTAGCTCATAGAGAGGAGAGTCATTATAACCATCATTTAAAATGAATGTGAGATTGTAAGAGCTCTTTGACTCAAAGTCAACAAGATCCTTCATGAAGACGTAAAGCTGTCGATCTGTAAAATTAAAGGGATGATAAATGCTGTTAAAAATAAAGTCTGCTTGAACCAAAACATTTATTTTGATGGCTTATGTATACATACTTGAAATATTAAACAGGAACTTGTTTTCAGCTGACGCATGCGCCAAATTTATTCTCTCTGTAATGACGTCATTCGTATCGGGATCGATGATGGAGTAAATAGTTAATAAGGAGCCAGAAGAAAGTGCCTCCGATACGTACAAAAGTCCAGTAAAATTCGCAATTTCAGGCTTTGTATTAAAATGATTAATACTGATAATCACTGATGCCTGATCATATGCACCATACTGGTCCTGCACTTGAATAACAAGAGTGCAGTTTCCATTGGACTTTGAATAGGGGTCATCCACTGCTGTATAGATTATTCCTGAGCTAGTGTTTATGTTGAATATTCCACTGACACTCTGACTTATCAAACTAAAGGTAAGGATATCAGTTACATCCGGGTCCACTGCTGATATTGATGCTGTGACAGGTGATCCCAACTGTTAAATATATCTTCAAAAGTGAGTTCATTTCACTTATAAACCAGCTCAGATTAACTGACTTTTAGTTTACAGTGATACAGATCAAGCACCCCTTGAAAAGGTTTTAAAGATACAGAAAATATGAAAAAATTGTAAAAACAACATTATGATTTTTTTACACAATAATATATCACTTTCTAAACCCTTAATATACGCTGGACATAATGCTACCATGTGTCACTATGCCCAACAGATGAAACAATAACAAAATATAAATCACCGTTCCGTCGTGAACATCTCCATAATAAATATTCGATGAAAACTTTGGAGGTTCATTGATGTTGACGATATTGAGGGTAAGGTTTGATGTTGATGTGGCACCTGCCAAATCCCACGCATAGACAGTCACGATCACACTACTGAGAAGCTGGTGATCCAGTGTGGCATTGGCTCGAAGTTTCACTTTTTGATCTGAAAGTATTCAAAATATCAATTGAAATTTTTTTAATTAAAAATATTTAATTTTCCAATGAATCGTAGACTCACTCATTATTTTTGGTCTTGTATTAATTCAATATTCTCTATTTCACTTTAACGATAATCACTATACATTGCAAAATTCTGGACATTTTTAGGTAACTTAGACGTTCAAGGTTTTCTTAACAGCCTTAGTAAATGTATGTTGGGTTGGAAAACTTACTTATTACTTACAGACATTGTATAAATCCCGATAATTTACACTGTATTCACAGTACTTCTCAGAAATGCAAAAGTACAGAAAAATTAACAAAATAATGTTAACGTTTGTCATATTTGAAAAATATATAGTATGATTAAATGCACTTCGCTCAATTAATTAAACAACTAGCTTAATACTTCAAACAAACTTCAAACGTCAGTTCTTCAGATATCTGTCGAGTTGCACGTTAATCGATTTTAATGCGTCATGATATATTTTAACGTGATTTAAATAGGACTTATGTCAAACTTACAAATTATATTTAGTTCTGAAACTTTTATGGGCAAGATGATTATTGAATATTCACAAAAACAATAAAATATGAATTAAAAACTCAGCTTTTATTAAAATACTTCAATACGATAATATGCATTCATCATAATATGATGAATATGATAAAAATACACTGCAACAAAGATGTGTCTAAAAACTCTTAATATTATTAAGTGTTTTTTAGACTCATCTTTGTTGCAGTGTATTTTTACTTTTGCAGAAGAATAAATAATTTAAACATTATTCTTATACATGTATAGGCTGAAAGAAAGCATCTTGCTCCAACCTTTGAGGGCATAAAAACTGTAAAATGACTAGAAGTTTGTGTGTATTAATATCATAGTCAGAGTTGAAATATATGTTAATTATTAGAATCTTAGGTATTCAAAGGACCTTCTCAGGAAGTTTGAAGTATAAGTGAAATTAAAATTACCGGCAGAATCAAAGTGCAGCAATGTAGCGGCAGCAGACGGTGAAAATGTACCGCTACAAGAACAGACATCAGCTACATCATCGTCTCGCGCAGTGACGTCATATACAACACTTCCAGGCGAAATGTTCTCATCCGTATTGGCAGTGAAAGGTAAATTCGTAAAATAAGGTGCATTGTTCACGTTATAAACTGTGATTTCAATGGAAGCCTTGGACGATAGACCGTTTGAGTCTGTAGCTTGTACTGACAGGTTAGATGTAAGAGTACTGTCCACTAGGATGTCTGCTGTCAAGTGCATCTGACCAGTACCGGAGTTTATTCCTATTTTTGTCATGAAGTGTCCATCTATTATACCGAATGTTACTATGTCACCTGCATCTGGATCAGTGACGTCATACGCTATGTTTGGGAGTGCATATCCACTCTGAAATATGGTTAAGAAATTTTCATCTTGAAGAAAAGTTAGAGATTCAAATCAAAACTTTTTAAGTAGACAAGATTTGAATCATATTTTATCATCGTTTTGTTTTGAAAGTGAGAGAATTATACTTTCCAATGATATTACTTATCTTTTAGAATAGTCAGATAATAAAGTATTACAAATCATTACTTGAATTGAAATAGAACTGTTCAGTAGATACCTTGTTTTCGTTGAATGATAAATAATAAAAAGTTGATTGAAATATTGGAGGTTCGTTCACATTGGCAATCTCTAAATACAGAATTGCCGGGTCTGAGATCTCTGTTCCGTCATTGGCTTCAAAGGTTAAGTTGTAAACAACAGCTCCTTCATAGTCGAAGTAAAACCCATTTGCCAGATAAAGCTTCCTTTCTAATGAACAATGGAAAAATGTATTCAATTTGATGAAATTTCGATTTATAATCCGGTTATGTCTATTTTGCGACTTCATAAACAAAATTATAATTGGTAAATTAGCATATACACAGTGGAATATCTATTTGTCATAATGAAAGAGGAAGACATAAATACATGTATGCTCAGAGTATGACTGCACGGCGTTCCCATTACATATCTAAGAAATTGATTAGGAAAACTGCTAATGCAGGAATTTTTTTTTTATGAATCTCAATTATCTTAGAATCAAGTTTATATAAAATGTCTTATCAGTAGATATACCTGAATCATTGAAGAAAAACAGATTAGAGGATAACGCAGGAGAGACTATATAAGATACAGTTGTAGCGGTCAGGTCTTCGTCACTGAGTCCCAATGAAAACAGAGAGGATCCGGAAGCTGTATTTTCGGGAACACTGACTGTTTGAGGTAAGTTCGTAAAATACGGCTTCTTGTTGACATTCTGGATTGCGATCACCACGGTACAGGTGTCAGACAAACCACCTGTGTCTGTTATCTTGACAGTTAAATTGAAGGAGGTGGTTGAATTCACCTCAATATCTACGAGAAGCGAAATGATTCCAGTAGAAGCATTGATGACAAAGTTTGATCCGTCTGTGATCCCAAAGGTAAAGGTGTCACTAATGTCCTCATCAGATACTCCAAATCCCACGGGCGGAAGTGATGTTCCTTTCTTCAAAAGTAAGGAATTCAAATACATGTAGACATTTAGAGAAACATGGATAATGAATATTACAAAATTTTATTATTTTTTTTTACATTACTATTTCATTTCATTATATATTTTACCTGACCCTCGTTAGAAGTAACATAATAAATGTTTTGGTTAAAGCTTGGAGGATCGTTGTCATCAAGTATAGATATCATCAGATTGAAGGTGGTACTTAATATCCCATCAGTTGTCGTCACAGAAATTGTATAATTATTAGCAGATAAATTCTCATAATTAAAAGATGCTCCACTGTTTCGCCTGACTGTCAAATCTTAAAAAAAATTAAATCAAACAAATATTGCTAATGGTCTGTATTGCTATTTGTCCCCCGCTTGAAAAGTGGGGGTTATTGATTTGGGTCTGTCCGTCCGTCCGTCTTTCTATCTGTCTGTAACGCTTTCGTTTCCACACGATATCTCGAGAACCCCTTGAGCTTTTGCAATGAAATTTTGCATAGCAACTCCCTATGGACTAAAGAAGAACCTTATTGATTTTGAGCTCAAAGGTCAAGGTCATAAATTCGCAAATTCTGTTTGTTATAACACTTTCGTTTCCGCGCGATATCTCGAGAACCCTTTGAGCTTTTGCAATGAAATTTTACATAACTCCCTGTGGCCTAACGAAGACCCCTATTGATTTTGAGGTCAAAAGATCAAAGTTCAAGCTCAAAAATTTATAAATTATGTCTGTGTGTAACACTATCCTTTGCGGGCTATATTTCAAGAAGATTTTGAGCTTTGCAATGTTTATTTTATACCAAAACTCCCTAGGACCTCTCTCACCCCTCAAAGTGTCCTCCGTTTGTTTTATTAGTATTTATTGTATTACATGTCGCTATTTTTTGCACAGGGGCATGGGAGAGTTATTACGTATAAAACAGGTTCTCGGCGGACTTTATATTCTTATTACATCTATTAGGACTGTTTAATAAAGGTTAAATTAGACACCATGCATTGTATAAAATTTTGACAATATCGAACGTGAATATATATAAAGTATGTGACTTCATTTTTGCACATAATTTACACCGATTTAAAGCAGTTCCGTGGCGTAGTGGTATGTCTCTCGCGTCATGTGTGAGAGGTCCCTGGTTCGAATCCCCGACCATCCATTTTCTTTTTTTTCGAAATATTTTTTTTTTACTAAATGATTATTCAGCGTGTGAAATGAAAAAATTATGAGGTCTGGCTTGTACAAACTCATAAAATCATCATGACAGTGTGATAAATATTCCATATAAAAAGAATCTGCTATACACATAATAAAGAATAAGCAATCAAATCTTTATATCCATATTGGCATATTTTATTTGCTTCAGTATGCATGTATACATTTAATAATTCTACAAATTCAGTCAGGGGGATCCGACCCCCCCCCCCCTGAACTGCGCATGGTTTACTTTTTCCCTAAGCGGGGGACACAAATTCTCTGAATTAGCTTGTTTATTTCTATCTTAAAGTTTTCTCATCTTTAAGTACTTTTGGATTTTACAATACCCTTTCAAGTTAAAACAGGTTTAAAGACTTCCCTGTTAATTTTTGTTTGGTTAATTAGTATAGCACAAAAATACAATTTCCTACCAGTGGCGTTGATATTAAGCAGTAATGTCCCAGCTGGTGGCTGAATGGTAAATGTCGTTGACAATACATCAGAAACATCTAAATCTTGTGCCGAAATCTGATAAATTACTGAGGATTCCGAAATGTGCTCACTTACGTACACTGTCTTTGGTAAATTTAGAAAGGTTGGGGCTGTATTCAAATCTAGAAAAGAATTCAATTATTATTTTTTAAACTGAAAAAAAATTAAGACAGAAGTGAAAGTATTTCATAGAATTACTTAGAAAATAACTTCGAATTGGAATATTACATGTACTCTTATTCTTTAATATGTTTACATTTGAGGAAGCTTTTAAAATTACGTGTATGTACCTGTTAAGGTAATTGTTAAGACACTGGGTCCAGTTGTAACCAGACTGTCATTAACATATAACTGTAGGGTGTACGACACGGTGGTCTCAGTCCGTAGATCCGTGATGCTCGTCACTGTACCATCTTCAAAGTTAAAAATACACGTATATGCAATGCGAATGCTATTGCCTTTATGTAAGATCCCTCTTTAAACACCATACGAAAGGAAAACTGCTCAGGACAGCAAGAAATGATCATCTTCTATCCGTATGTTATAAATATACAACCTTCTATCCGTATGTTATAAATATACATCTGGCATTTCGAGTGTGTGCAGTTTATGGACAAGCTATGATATCAATTATTTGAAATAAGAATGTTTTAAAATCTTTTTACTGTATTTTTTCCTACCACTTGCAACAGAAAAAGGACATGGCAAGGGTGAGCAAGTGCTGCTTGTAGACAGAGTACTGCTGTCAGGGTCAGCGGTTTGGACCTTATACACAGAGGTTCCTACTGCAGTTGACTTTGTGGACAATATAAGTGAATCTAAACAAAAAAATCACTTTTTAACAAGATAGAATTGATGTATTATTTGCTTTAACAATTTGATACATATCTCGACTTTAAGATAAGGTAGTTCGCGTCGAATTTAATTTATTTCCTTACATGGCAGATTGGTGAATGATGGGGCTATATTCTGTATGATGTAGACTGTAAATATTCCATACGATGTGTCGATACCATCAGAACAGCTGATATTCAGTGTGTATGTGTTTGTAGAGGCGTAGGACAAAGCTGGATTGCTTTTGGAGACTATGTCATAACCTGAAGAATAAAGGTCTTCTGCTAAATGTTTAGGTTTCACATCACTCTGCTCACTCGAAATTCTTTTTTTTTTCATTATTGCTTGAAATTTTACAATTGATTTTTAATTAAATGCACATAATTTTGGCATAAATTGTGTATATCTATCCATAGCACCTGATCCCACCTTTGATGTTTTGGAGGTCCGTGTTTGCTCTGCTCCTGTTTTGTATTGTTTTATGGACTTTTTATCTTGAATATACTGTTCGTTATCTTCATATATTTCATCTATCAGAGTATCAATAATCCTAAACTTAAAAAAAAAAAAGCAATATCATACTTTCTTTCAAGTCAAACCACTAATTAATGTTTATTGATCAGAGAAAGAAAAATGAAGTACATTTACCGAGAGTAATGGAATAATTGGCTTTTACAAAGAAATTTCCTGATGAAGGAGAGGTGTTTTCCAGCATGCACGTGTAAGAGTCACCATCGCCATCTTCAATGCTAATTGAATGAAGGAAGTTTTCTTGGACGGTTGTCTCTTGAAGGTCAGCACTGTACGGAAGACCGGATATCACTGGTGCCTTAATCAAATTAATATTCTTCTTAATACAAAAATAATCTACATGATAAGTGTATTCTATAAGTGTAAGATATCAATCCCATCGACTGTACTATTGAATCTTTCGATTTTTCAACATTTGTATCGTCAACGTGTAGCAATATTTTGGTTTATGGCTTATTCGATACGCAAGACCATGTAATTTTGACCAATTTTTAAAATAACACAATCTATTGATAAACAAGTTGATGAAACAAGGATGCCAAAAATCTAGTTTAAAGTTAATATCATCTCGGAAGTTCTTATACTTGCTCTACTCCAGACTTGTTATGTTTTAATGGAAGATAGAGCTTGGTTACTGTTCGTTACCCTCATAATTTATTTTAAAATTTTTAAATGTCAAACATTCTACTAAACACATATTTTATCACCTTATTAAATTGGCAAAATGAATAATTTATTTATTATAAAAGCAATAGAAGGACTTACAGATATAAAACTGTTTTAGTGATATGAGACAAGTTACCATGTTTGTGAATATGGCGTTGAAAGACTGGGTTTGTGATCTTCCACAAGCGTCAGTAACAGTCACAGAGAGACTGTAAGTCCCTACTGTCACTGACGAGGATGTTGTTATATTACCTTGTGATAAAAGAGGAATATTATTAATTTACTTCATCAGAATTTATAGAAACTGAATAGACTTCATTAAAATTACAGCACCTTTAAGCTCATTATCATGAAACTTAATTTAAAATCCTTTTTTAGGATAGAACTTATAATAAAATGTTGAAAATAATCGATTTTATTCTATTCCCTCGTGCTCCTTAATGAAAACTTTTCAAAAATTTCTTGAAATCTGGAAGAATACTTCTTAATTGTGAATATACCAAAAAAAATACTTACCAGACCCTGAATCGATGACAAATGGCCCTGTACCACTCAGTGTAAATATGTAAGTGGTAGTCTCATCCTTCCCTGATATGACGGGGAGGTAAACAGAAGTCCCTATAGAGGTCATGTGACTGAAGGTCACGGAGGCTGGAAACGTGACCATCACTGGATTACTACCTGATAACCGAAAGAAAAATCAAATAAAATACATTTTCACATACCCAGTTATTGTTTGAGGGCAAACAATGCATTTGTATATAATACAAGTATTATTATTAATTCGTTTCATTTTGTTCTATTTCCGTGTTATGTTTATAATGTCCCAAATGATTCGATATACTGTTACATAAGATCATGCTCTGAATAAACATGTTGAATTCTACGACAGAGATAATGACAAGTAAGTTGATGTTATAAGGGTTTCAACAACACTGTTTAATGCCAGCTTTTTGTAAAAGTAATTTTAAAATCGATATAATGGCATTGCTTGTAAATAAAGCCTAATGTTTGTTCATATTTTGTGTGATTTTTCATTACCATTACTTATGATAAATCTTCGTACGGGAGATGTGACCGCTTGTCAAAGGAAACTTACTCCTCTTTGGCACCTGGCCCTACATCTGGTGTTTTGCAGGGGTTGTGTGTTTGCCCATTTCAATATTTGTTTTGCTTACTGGGTATGAGACTGGTCATTGTTTTTTCACTTTTTACATTGCTTTAGAATACTACAGTAAGCAGCTTAACTGTACATCAAATAAATTACATTAACATGACTTCGAATTGACAGAAGTTGAAATTTTCTATACATATATGTATACACTGTATATGTATTTCATATCTTCATTTGTGAAAAACTGGAAAATTTAGACCTATTGGCCTTTAAGGCCACCGAATTTCATGCATTTTCATATTATGTCAATGATGAAGCTATGCATTATGTTCAGTATTGGAATAAAACCTGGTGCGAGCAGGGCTTTAATGGCGTAGGTTCTCTTTTGCACATGCGTCCCTGAACTCCAATCAAATACTCCTCCAATTGACACCATCGCCATGCTCTCCTGTATAATCGTTGATCCACTACCCTCCGATTTGTAAGGGATCACCTCGTCAACGGGGGAATACCTGAGAAGTAAGATAAAAATAAAGTATTGCTGAAGGACCTCCAGTTTATGCAATTGGTTTCTTCACATGTGATAAAGTCCAATGCAGGGTAAAAATATTCAAATTTAATTTAATTTTAAAAAGTTAGTAAAATTTGTTATTTTGTCATATTTTATAAATCAAAAATAATTCTCATATTCTGAATGTAAATTTGAAGTTTCTTTTTGCAGGTTATAAACAGTTTTTTTTGTATTTCTATGAAATTGATAATACATGTAGTTGCTTTATTGTGTTCTCCTACAAACTACATGCACAAATTGTTAGATCAAAAGATATATTAAGTAATGAAAATTGTTTGTCAATAATGTAAATTAATATTCACATTTTAACAATGTATAAATGAAACAAACAAAATTCATTATTTCAGCTGTATATACAAAGCTGTACACTTACCATCCTATCAAATCGTTCTCCTGGACGTGTATTCTTTGTGCCGGAAGTATAACAATTTCCTGCTCTTTCAAGCCATCTATTGAACCAAAAAAAAAAAATAATTACTTTGTTTACAAATATTACCAAGCATTGGTTAGTATTTTGGCTTACGTGTTTCACAGCTAATTTTAGGTCTTTGTTTTTAAAATAAGTTTGACTGGTTTCCGTCTTTCTGATAAAAATAAATGATCAAAAGGGGATTATTTCTCCTCCTGGACACCCGATCCCGATTCTCGAATTAACTTGATTCAGGGGTTTTCTGACCCTTTTATAGATCAATGTTTGCTATCATTACCGTTTACAATTCGTCTTGTTCACATTGAATTAAGTGTACTTTTTTAAAAAATAAAATGGCTGATGCCATTCGCATGCAAAACGAGAAACGACACATAATGGCGGACAAAAATAGATAAATATCATCTGAATGATAGATGTCCTAAAAATGCAACACCGGTTATATATTGCATAAAATGGTAAACGATTTAAAATTAAATTATCATTTGCAAACATCCATTGATAAGCGCTGTCGCAAATGGACATTTTTTTCCTACCAAGAGAAAGTTAAACAAGTACTTTTGTCGTCTGTTTTTGATGAAGTAAGATTTTGGCATGCATATAATGAAACATATGGAGATAACGAACAGTATTCAAAATCAAAAGTCCATAAAACAATAAAAAATAGGAGCAGAGCAAACAAGGACCTCCAAAACATCAGAGGTGAGATAAGGTGCCATGGATGAATGAGCATCCCCTGATGACCGGTCACACTTTTTTCCTTTAATCTGCAATAGCAACAGATTTCACTGCCCGTGCAGGTTATTTTTTAGTTAGTCAGTATTTGTACATATTGAATCATTTGCATATTGCTCTGCTTGTGCTAGTAAGTTGGTTATTATTACATATTGCAACATGAAAGAAAATAATAGCAAAATGCTTTTCTTGCGGTGTTTCTTTTCTTCATATATGCGTCAATTTAAGCAGTACCGGGTTGCAGTGTTGGTTTAATTTTTTTTTTAATTTATCACAAGAATTTGCATCAGTAGTGGGTTTCATTTCTGGCAATAATTATTTACAGTTTGTAGCAAAAGGTTAACATTGTTGATGTAGGTATTTTCTATCTCGTGAAATGATTGAATTTCGTATAAACACCGTAAACCAACTTTTATTCGCGTGCGAGAAGTTTTCGAGAAGTTTGCACGAGCCTCGTCACCGCGAATATTTCTCGCCGCGAACTAGTCCTTGAAGTCTCTGTGTCTTTTAACAATTCATGCAACAGATTAAAAAAAGATTTGATCGCGAAAATTAATCGTCGTGAACTAGTTTTACTCCAGTTAATCGCGAAATAAAATCGTGGCGAATAAAAGTTGGTTTACTGTAACAGATTGGTTTGTTTGTTCTGGTTATTTTCTACTCACACATTTTTGTTAAATTTTCTATCTTTTGTTTACATTATGTACCCACATTTTTAATTTGATTTTTAAAATTTCTTTTGATTTTCAAAATACCACTAAGAAATATTCTAGTTCGGGAAAAAATGACTACTATTATGTAGAAACAATTTCTTCTAATTATTAATAAGAGTTATTTGCATAAATTTAAGATATAAAAAAGGGCATAATTTGTATGGAATGATATGAAAATGTTTATTTTTACGGTGACCTGAATAAAGAGAGTACATGTATTTTAAAACGAACCTGAAGTAAATGTGAGGTTATTCTGTCCCACAAGTTGATACCCGGATGTAGAACTCCGCCATACCTGTAGATGGACCGTCCCCGGCTGTTCTACATAAATGTCCCATTGTTGGATCTCCCCACAGCATGGGACGAAATATAAAGTGTTCAGGGTTAAATGGCCTCGACCTTCAATATCAATGAATAACATTGAACAATGAAAAATACTTTTGTTATGAAATAAAACATTCGTTTTTATCAAATGTATTATGATATTTACAATTTCGCTACATGGTCACTTTAATTAAGCTAATAAAATGTGTTTACTAACTTTATTTATTTAAAATTTAATTTTTATTCAGAATTACAAGTCTAGTTGAGTAGGAAAAAAATCTAATAAATGTGCAAATTTTTTGTTTTTGCCCCTTTTCATCTCAATTTTATATGAAAGATTTAATTTCTACTTTTTCTTTTAAAAAGCTTTATACTGTTATAAATTCTAGTTATAAGCAGTACATTTGATTTCATATTCGCTATTAAATCTATGAAAAATGTCCAAAATCTGCTACTTTTACAAATATCCACTTAAAAGGCGTTTTATGGCGTAGAAATTTTATTTAAACAAACCTTAAAATATGATTATATATATAATTAATGTGTAATTGAATTGCAATAAAATATGTGGTAATATTTTGTTAACATGTCATTCCTGAAAAAAAATTTACTGTGATTCATAACAGATATCTAGTATTAATAAAATATCCATTTAATATGTACATTTTTTTCATTCCGACATTAGAAAATTAACTATTACAATTTCATTTAAAAACTTACCAAAATTTCCTGATTCAAATTTATCTTTTTTATTCGGTGCATCTTTATGACCAGCAAAATCTAATGTTGTACATGTCGCGGCCATTCCTAAAATACACGATGCTCTCAAATTGTGAAAACGAAAAAAAAATCATTACAGAATAATAATAAAAACTTTAAATAACTTAAAATGTATTATTAGTTTAGAAATTTTGTCGAAAATTGGCACAAGAAGGGATAGAAAAAAGTATACAGTTTTATTACATCTATTTGAGGGCAATGTGTAAAAACAATTAACACTTTCAAGAATGTACATCTCAATACTCACCAGCTTTAAAAAGTGTCATCATCAATATCAATTTGAGTACCATCCTTGCAGTTGCCCATTAATCATCAATTAAAAGTAAAAAATGATTTCTGTAATTTGATTTTGAAATACTGGCCCACTTGATTTTTTGCAACAGAATCAAAAACTATGTAGAGCATTCCCTGATTTGTGACCCCTCGGCTAAGGCATTGGGATGAACACATGACGGACTGTATATTGGTTACTCTCGACCAAATCTTTAATTTGATTGACAAGTAATAGAATTGAAGGCAAAGAAAACAATGCACCACGTGCAGTGACCTTACATTGGATATTTTATCTTGTTTGTTCTGTAAATTAAACAGCAAATATAACGCATATTGAAAGAAGCCAAATTTGCACATCAGCTATTTACTGCGACAGAAATAACAAGTGATTCAATGTGGCTTTTGTCATTTAAACACCTTTTGAGAGTTTTAAAAGATTTGAATTGATATTAAAAAAGGAAAGAAAAGTTTTTTCTTGTAAATAATTATTATGAACATGTATCTGAAAAATTATAAAGTTTTAAAGACTTTTAAATGTTGTGCATTCTGCAGATGTTTTCAAGTCAATTTTGAAGAAATTCTATCATCGTTGCTTGAATTTCTGTGCATTGGTCCATGGCATCTGATCCCACTTATAACGTTTTTGAGGTCCGTGTTTGCTCTGCTCCTATTTTGTATTGTTATATAGATTTTTGAGCTTGAATTCTGTTTGTTATCTTCATATATTTCATTCAATTATTTGAAGCTGGTACTTAATTTGAAGGAAGGGAAGAGAGAGAGAGTGTCAAAATCTTTCAAAAAGATTTCTCCAATTTCAAAAATGTTTCCAATTATTTTTCTCTTGTTTTCACTGTATTTTTAGCTGACTCACATGAGTATTAATGCGACACCTTAATCAAATGAAATATGGATATAATTAAAAGTATTCAAGCTCTAAGTCCATTTAAACAAATGAAGGATATGAAGATAACGAACAGTATTCAATATCAAAGTGGATAAAACCATACAAAATCGGAGCAGAGCAAACACGGACCTCCGAAACATCAGGGGTGGGATCAGGTAACATAGAGGAGTGAACAAATCGGAAATAGAGCAAATACGGACCTCCAAAACCAGCTCTGCTGAATAATAAAGTCTACGCGTTTATAAAGCCTGATTGAAATCAGAATACAACTGTAAGGAGAGTATTATTTTGAAGAAAAAAAAATCTGTTTCTCTTTTAGTAACCACGAAAACACCGTGAGAAAAGACAGAAGGATCGACAGTTAGACAAACAACAGTCGATAAACAACAGTGATCAGAAAAAGGTTTAAACTTTGATTCATATGGGCTACAGGTGAAATAAAAGCATATTTAAAGTTCTGATGAAATGTGAACTAGCATTTCTGTGTATGAAGTCTGTATGTCTAATAGAACCTCCTTCTGAATGTCCAGGACTCCCCCCTCTTCTTTCACCCTTAGGTTCTCATCCTCTAATCGTTCATTATCAAGAATTTCTTTCTTTCTGCTCTTCAAGTTTTTCTCGATGTATTCCGGTGAGCGTGAACTAAAAGATACCACAGTCTGATATTTGGATGTCATAGGCGTAGTCACAGGGGGAGCAGCGGGGGCACTAGCCCCCCCACTTTCAGATCTGGGGGGGCAAGAGTATGTCTGTGCCCCCCCACTTTTTTAAGAAGAACAAAATCACAGCTATTTTTCCCCAACATTACCTTTAGTATAGGAAATATTCATTGAATTGAGAGTAACTTGCCTTTGAAAAACTTGGCCTCTACCCCCCCACGATATAGGATTTTCGAGTTTGGGGAACTTTCCTTTTTTTTTTTTTTTTTTTTTTTGCTAGTCAAAGAATATCTGGAGTTGAGCCCCCCACTTTTAAGTTTTTTTTTTTTTTTTTTTTTTTTTTTTTTGCTTGTCAAAGAATTTCTGGATTTTTTAAGTTCGTGACTACGCCTTTGTATCTTTACTAGAGGAGACCTTAATGGTTATCTAACAACCAAGATTTATGATATGAATTTAACTTTTCAATCGTCACCTTCCCCTACTTATGCAGTAATATACCTTCGCCATCTGTATATGGAGTTTATATCAGTTGTTAGATACAGAAGAGCAAGTTCTAAGTATTAACAATTTCTAAAATGAGGTAAGTTATTGACAAACAAGCTAATGAAGCAAGAATATCAGCAGTCTCGTCTAAAGACACCGTTTTGTAAGTTCTATGGTCTATACAATACCTTGTCAGCAAATATTTATCTAAAAGTCAAATGCTGACGTCTGACTTTTCATACTGATTATTAGGCCATTATTTACACACTGAGTTGTGCACGGCTTTTTCCTTTATTTCCCTATCATGACAAGGAGACATGACCGGCGTGTCCGGTCGGCAGGGGATGCACACTCCTATAAGGCACCTGATTTCACATCTGATATTTTGGAGATCCCTATTTGCTCCGCTATATTTTAATGTTTAATGGACTTTTGACTCCACATATTTAATTCTATTTGGTTCACCCGTTTTTAAAGTAAATAGATTATTAGAAGACCAGGCCCCATGACCATACACTGAGAAAAGACTTAAGTAAAAATGTCAAATCAATATGAATTTTGAAATAATTTTGATAACAAAAAACTTTTTACCATATGTTTAAATTGAAATATTAAAGAAACCTACAATTTTTTACAGTGGCTGGCACGTATCTTAACTTTGTTGTTAACGTTGTGCTGAAACAATTACTTCATATCAGAGTCTACATTTAAAGTATTCTTTTTTAATTTGTATGAAAACTATGATGTATTATTTACCAATAGAAATATAAGAAATTGAAATTGTGCCCATGTGAATCAAAGCAGAGTCAAACTAGATTGTATAGTAGTAGGAACTCCAGGGAATTGTGAGATTTGTGAGATAAAATATTCATTTTTAAAAATAATTAGACTGAAAAGTAGATAATACTTAAGGAGTCTTCTGCTATGATGATGTTTCCGATCTTTTCAAACCTCTAGAATATGCTGAAATTTTTTTTATTTCAAATTCGAACCTATTGTCAAAATTTTTTGATAGAAAAAAACTATTGTTAAAATTTTGTTGATATTTGATCAATTGTTAGGAAAATAATTAAAATAAAGTTGCATTAACATTGTTCTTTCTCTTTCTTCTTTTTTAAATTCAGAGGGAAATGTGAAACCTGTCGGTAAACACTGAACATAAAAAGTATTTGTCGTTCATTGATTTAAATATCCGGGGAGGTAAACTTAGATTGACACTTTTTAGCAAATTTCAATATTGGGGACGGGAAAAACACATTGCAAAATATTCAGTATGACCTCTAAATTCAATTTTTTTTTTCAAAAAGATTTAATGCAATTTGTCGGCAGATACTTAGGGGAAGTGTTTGGTAGCAATCTGTCAACTTGATATTAAACATGTGAATGTAAGGATTGTCCGATATGAGCTATTTATCCCAGTAGGTATTGCATCAATTTACGAGGGCTGTTCAATAAATAATGTCATTGGTGCTCGGAAAGGAACAAAAAACGCTTTTCTATAATTTAATCTTAATGATTTCACTTAAATATTCTCTTTTAATTAAAACACATGTCTGTGTAACATATGTATTCAATTTCTAATTGTTTTAGAACACGTTTTTGAATATGACCCTTCGTATACTGGAATCTGAAAGGTGTTTTTTCAAGTTTGGTAAATGGAACAGGTCAAAGATTGAAATATCTGCCTGTGGGTTTGGACGCTGTCATGAAAAAAATTAATGCATTAAATTCTCATTCTGGATCTTTCCTCTTATAAACCTTTTGATTTTTTTGCAAAAAGTTTGCTTTCTAGACTCCTCCAACAATTGAACTTCCTCCCCGAATAAAAGTTTGAACAACAAGACCACTAATATTTTAGAAAATAGCATATAAAATTGTTTTTGTGCTCTTGCTATTCTTTGCTCTTCTCAAGCTTTTGCTGTTTTATCAAGTGCATCTTATTGTAAATTTGTTTTTTAGGGTTTAAAGCAAAATGGATTCAAGTTTCATAATCTGTTTGAATTTCAGACAAACGTGGATAAATACAAATTTTGATTTTTAAAAATGATTTTTAGATATATTCCTACACGCTGTCGTTTTCACTCATTTTTTAAAATATAGGGTGACCTTTGCATATTGAATTTTTTTTACTATCAAATGTTGCTTTAAAAAGTGTGAACTACCCCTAAAGTGATGTCCATCGAATTTGCTATGAGTCTTAAAGTCAATCAAACATAATCAGTTATTAATTGTTGAATTTTTGCAAATATACATTGGTTGCTGTATTTCCTTGTCGCCAGGTAAGGTACCCATTTCCGATGCCCATTATATCATTTTTGGTCATTGAAATCCACCTGCTCACGTGTGTATTAAACAGACATTAGTTGCTATAAATTTCATATATTTCAGTTATATTTCTTTGGGATTCTTAACAAGTTTTACAGCAGGTTAAATGAAACGTTAAATTTCACTCTAGTTTACTGATTCTTCATCATTCATTTTAAATGCAGTGTCTCGAATAGCCCTTCTTTTCCAGCTTCCCACAATAAAACTATGTGATGAAAAGTGGTCACATAAACTGTAATCAATTCATTAAAGATTCAATAGTGAGAAAGTCAAGCTTAATGGCATATAACTTCTATGTTGTATGTCATGACATTATTTATTGAACGGCCCTCGTAGATTGGTCATTATTACGATTTTATTAGTCTCTATCTCTTTGTAAAAAGAGATTATTGAAAGAA